GCGAAATATTCTTGAATTTGTTATCATACAACGCCTTCCTTTTCTTTATTTTATATTTGTATTTTATTATGAAGCGGCAATTTAGTGTCTAAAAAACTGTTTAAAGTTGTCACGTGAATAGATCGAATCCCACCTCACCAATGTTTAGTTGGGATTGTATATAGTGTTACTAACCTTCACACACAAAAAGTGTGATTGAAAGTTGTATACCAACCTACATTTGGAAATTCATCTGTATTTTATTTTGAATCGATACATAATTGTGTCGCAATCTACACAGCCTACGAACGAATAAATGAAAGTATGATGCGGAACACAAAATAAGCATTTTCTGCTGCAATTAATCAGTTAAATAAGAAAGAAAGATTAGTTCAGCGAAAAGTTCTCTTTTCGTTGAATTCATTTTCAAAGCTGTACAATTGCAAATATATATACTTATTTTTACACGATGATAATAATACTGATAATAAACTTCTGTTATACATGGTGACAGTGAGGTTAAATAAACAAAGGTAAAAAAAAACTTTTTTTTTAAACAAGGAAAGTTGAATAATCGTTTGATAGTTAATGGCTGAAGTATTCATTGGGTAAGGATGGCTCAGTATGATAAAATAAAATGTTGAAACAGAGATGAAATGTGATCGGAATGATCGTGGAAATAAAAACAAACCGGTTGGGGGTAGAAGATTTAAAGGGAAGATGGAAGGTGAAGCAGGTGGCTGTATGGGAACAAGAGTATGAAGAAATATAAAAGAAATTTTTAATACGTTAAGACCATGGTAGAAGAGGTTGTACCAGTCTCTTTTGTAAACGTAATTCTGGTTTTTCAAAATGTATGGCTATTGCCTCGGCAATGCAAAGAAGATGCAGTCTAATTGTCTTAGGAAGGCTTCTACTTACCTTGTAGATGACTTTGAACGCAGAGTCTGTCTTGATTGAGTGACCTGTGTTCACAAGGTGTTCGATTATAGAACTTCTTATTGAGCCGTTGCCTCCTCTTTTTAGCCACGCCGGACAATGTTCTTGAATTCTTTTGGATAAAGTACGCATCGAACGACCTATATACCTAGCTCCACAAGAGCAGGTAAATTGGTAAATGCACATTGAGTTGGTCAGATGCGATAATTTATCTTTCAGATTATTGGTGAACAGTGATCGGCTGGAGAATAATATTCGCAATGTTGCTGCGAAGAATGTTCTTTTTAAAGAATCCGAAATTCTCCTCTTTAAGATATAAGCGGCTCTATCACCTTTGAAGTCGATGTTCATGTACAAAGTTTTTTTTTCTACTGTAATTGTTTGTGGTTTTGGCATTTTTGGCTTCATGTTCTTATCAATGAATATAGAAGGATATCCGTTTTTGATAAGTATCTCTTTTAAAAGGCTCAATTCTTCCTCTACGACCTCGGGGCTACAGATTCTTCGTATTCTTGTGGCGAGAGTTATTATTAAGTTTCTTTTTCGGCTGATGGGAACCCAACTGTGGAAGTGTGATAGTTGGCCATTCCACATGGGTTTCCTGTAGATAGATCTTTTTAAAGTACCATCTTGTTTTCTTGTTATATCTACATCAAGGAAGTGAATATTTTGTTTGCTTTCAACTTCAAGTGTGAATTTTATTGATGGGTGACAATTATTAAATATCTCTAGGAGATCCCTTAAGTTACATTTGTTGTCACAAATGATAAAGATATCATCCACATATCTTTTATATAAGTGGAGGTTTTCTATAATTCTTTTAAGTTGGTTGTTTTCTAAACTGGCCATGAAGCAATCTGCCAGTAATGGACCAAGTGGGGATCCCATTGCTATACCATCCTTCTGTCTATAAATTACGTCGTTGAATGTGAACTGTACATTGCAAGTACAACGTAGTAATAGTTCCTTCAAATAAACCTCAGGTATCCCAATGTTTATCTCAGTATTGTTTATGTACTTACAGATAAAATTAATGGTCTCAGTGAGTGGAACATTAGTGAATAATGATTCCACATCCAGAGATAGCATAATTTTGTCACTTACATTCACTTCTTTTATGTGCTCGATAAATTCAAAAGTATCACGTAGGGAATGTTTACAAATGAGTTTTCTAACGGGTTTTAAGAGATTCGCCAACCACTTTGCTACAGGGTGGTAAGGGGATCCTGACATATCGAGAATCGGTCTAAGAGGTAGACCAGGTTTGTGTATTTTTGGCAGACCACATAATCGCGGTATTATTGATGCTGTTGGTTTTATGTGCTCAAAGACCTGTTCGTTGATTAACTGCCCATTTTTCATTCTCTTAAGGACATCAATTAGTTGCTTTTCTATAATTTCAGTCTTGTTTTTTTCCTTGATGGGTTTTGAGAATTTGGTGTCATCTGATAATAACGTTGTCATTTTTTCAACATAACTCTTGCGATCTAGCAGCACTAAACCAGCACCTTTATCTGGACGTGTTATAATCAAGTCTTTATTATTTCTAAGTAGTTTTATCTGATTTCTATGTTCTTTTGTAAGTAGACTTTTGCCTGTTACTTTTGTGCTAATATATTGGTTGCAGCTGTCAAGAAGAGTAGATTTGAAACGTTGGAATTCTTGATCAGAGATTGGATTAAGACCATTTGTTTGTTTGATTAAGTTTTCGAATTGAACATGTGTGTTGATTTTGTTAACTCTTTCATTTATGTCGCAGAATTTTATCCCCAAAGATAAGGCTTCTAATTGTACATTTGTCAGGGATATTGAAGAATGATTAAACACATATCTTTCAGGATTGTTAGGAAAATTGTGCTGTGTTTCTGTGGTTTTTAAACTTTTAGTGAGGTCTGATATTAAGTTTTTTCTGCGTTTGTCGATAACTGTGGTAACATATATTTTATTTCCACGATCATTCCGATCACATTTCATCTCTGTTTCAACATTTTATTTTATCATACTGAGCCATCCTTACCCAATGAATACTTCAGCCATTAACTATCAAACGATTATTCAACTTTCCTTGTTTAAAAAAAAAGTTTTTTTTTACCTTTGTTTATTTAACCTCACTGTCACCATGTATAACAGAAGTTTATTATCAGTATTATTATCACCGTGTAAAAATAAGTATATATATTTGCAATTGTACAGCTTTGAAAATGAATTCAACGAAAAGAGAACTTTTCGCTGAACTAATCTTTCTTTCTTATTTAATGTCATTATGGGTGTATTCCTTTTAATAATTAATCAGTTCACATAAACTACGATGATAAGCCTCTCAATGTAAAAAACAAATATCATTATTCACATGAATTCAACTTATTACTTGGCTTATGATTGACGCAAATAAATATACATATAAAAACAGTTAAAAAATAATCATAATATTATTCCGATAATTTGATGAATTGAATTCACTTTACGATTAAGATCTAATGGGAACAGATTGAGATATAAAATATTGATTATGACCAGATTACAACTTATATTCTGTGTATGTGAACTGTATTATGTATTTGTTAATAAATGACCTATATGATCTGAGCTTAATTCATACTTTTTTTTTGTTTGTTTAAATATAAACTAGGTAACTATGTTTAAAAAAGAAATGTATTTATCAAAGCAATCAAACATATTTTAAGTTTGTTATTATCATAGATAGATATTTGAATCAAGTTTAGGCTTCAGACAGACATTTTCAGACAATTATATTGATTTTTTTTTAAAAAAAATCTACTATTCTATGGGGATTTAGCTAGGCTTTTGAGTAGGCATATTTATTCATTAGTTGACTACTTGAAATTAATTCTTAATATAACTCATTTTGAAAGTATTGATTTAAGTACTTGGGTGTGAGACTTGGTTGTAATGATACAGAACTTAGGTAAGGATAATCAAAATGACTGAAAATCTTGGCAAAATATGAAAACCATACACTGAATACTTCATTTGCAAATTTCGTTGATTTTTCCTTCACATTCTGTATGATTCTTCCAGTTTACAATTTTTTTCTATTTTCCCTCCTATTATCTTAAACTAGATCTTCTTAACCTTCTGTTGTCAAGTTTTCTACTTCTGATTGGTTTTATATATTATTTATGTCTGTTGACATAAGCAGTATACACCACATAGTGAGATTACCGGATTGCCCAAACAGACTTAGGTGGAGCCTTGTTCGAATCTGTAACGAAATGACTGGAAGTATGCAATTTGTTTCCGTTCCAAAGAAACTCTACAGTAAGATTCTTATGAAATATCTTAAGTTTTCGAATGAACCAGGTTATATCAGTGACAACCGATGTATACTGATGATCAGTTAGGAATATTACACCTACCTAACCCTACATCAGGCAATAATACGTGTCAATGTAGGTGGTGGTTAGAGATACGTAATACACACCCCATCTACTACAGTTGATGGAAATTCACTGTATATAACCTCAGCATTGCTGACTCAATGATACCAACATACACCAGCTATGCTTTCAAAGCGTTTATGGTCAAATACTGATAACTTGAGAGTATATTGTATTTTGAAATGCCACATATTAAGGAAGATGAATTTGATAGCGGAGTTCCATGGATTCCTGGACACTGTGTTTGACTCAAGTGGTCGTGATATTTCAAGTAGATGCTTCACTTATGGGATCATTAGAGAAAATCTGTATATTCCTTAAATCAATACACATAATTATAAGTCAAAGCTTGATTGATAAGCTAATAGTGAACAGTGTTAAAATACACCAACGAAGAATCTAAACATTATTATTTTGTGGAATGCTTACATAAACGAAGGAGAATTGTGGAAATTGTTAGAATTGATTCCGTTATTAAAAATCCTACATTTGGTATTTTTCCGTAATAAACAATTCCACAGGAGAAAAACAACGTATAAATTCACGACGTAAATACTCACAAAGGTTGACTTCAGTCATTGTAAAGTTAGTGTTTACTCGCAAGTTTAAATTTGTCATACAATGAAATCTATTTTGTATAAATTATACAATGTCATTTAAACATAAACATAATATTGTCTCATAAAATATTTCAATTAGCAATTAGTTAGAAAGTTCACTTCATGTACTACAAGACAATGAAGACTACCACAAGGAGATTGTGTGAAGTTATCCGGGATAGGATACCATTCTTGTTTGAAATAATATAGCATTAATATGTTTAAAGTTAGCAAGATTAATTTACAAGGTACGATTTTGAGATTCGAAGTAGATAAGTGTGATACGAATCTGAAATTCCTTTATCTACATAATTCAAGATCATTATAAACGGACATGAGTGTAAATGTATCTATGAATTTTCTTTTTACGTTTGATGATTGTGTTTGCACCACAACTCGTCATGACATGACCAAGATACCGAAGTACTCAGCGATAGACCACGCACCCTGGAATGTGATGAGAACCAAAACATAATTTCGTTCCCGTTCCACTGAATAAGTAAAGAAAAAATGATAGCAATGGTATTTCATTTGCGCTGGGCTCCGAAGCACCCAGCTCCCACCTATACCACATCCATCATGTCTCCTCACAAAGTCGGACTAGAGTCAAGATCAACAGGGTCTTCTTTCCCCGTTAATTCTGCAAGTGTCTGGCAACAACAAAAGCAAACAACACATATGGTAATAATAAACAATATAATCGTGGATTCAGCTTACCTTATCATCGTTCAAATCATTATTATCAGAATCTTGTATACCACAAAGTAACGGATTAACATTCACCGGTAAACTTGCACTAATATTGTGTGAATTAATGTATTGTTGACTTGGAATCGATCCAAAAGTCATTCCTGAACGACTAGATAGCTGTAATCGATGCTGAACAGTTAAATGATGCTGAGGAGATAACGAAGATGAAGGATGCTGAGATTGTGATATAGGTTTAGATTGGAACTGTGAACAACATAACTGTGACTGACTACCGGGTTGGAAAATACGTGGTTGAGGAGATTGATTTGGTTGAAAAATACGTTGATTTCTCGTTTTATTAGTCTGCTGTTGTTGATATTCAGGGGTATGAAGTCGTACACAAGGCATATTTACATCACTAGATGAACTATTAACCCCTGTTGTAGATACTGTCAACGATGTACACCTTGCACGTATTAATCTTAAAGGTGAGTCTATGACAGTCCCAGCACCCCCAGTAGGTCGGGTGGAGAAATTCGTGCTAGAAACAGGCGAATTTATTCTCGGAAAACTGCTTAGTGGATTACTACGTACCGGAGCAGATCCAACAATCGGTGAAGTCATAGAATCTAAACGAGAAAGAAGTATAAAATATAAAATTATTATTATTTAACAAATAAAAGATGTCATTTAGTATTTGGAAGCTGGAAAGTTTCTAATTACAAAAAGAGGGAGAGTAACAACTAAGTCAAAACTTAACTGGAGAGAATCAATTTTCAAGCTATAGATTAAGAACAGATCTATTTATAATTTTGGCCTCAAGAGTAGACATTTACTATTAGTTTATAAATTCGAATTTAATTTCAGATTTCGACGTCAGAATATTCATAAACAGAGTCGTCCGAATACAAGACTAGTTGTTATCAGTGAGTATTTAAAAAGTGCGATGATATACACATAAAGATTTTTCCGCATTACTACACTGTTTTAAGTTGATTTATATTATTAGCTCACAGATTTAGACCTTAAATGCACCTCAAATTGTGAGTACAATATAGAATCATAATTATTCAAACTAGTTTAACCATGTTTAAAAACAACAGACTATTAATAACATTGATTTACTTGTTGTATTAAGGATTGGAAATCATGTATAAAATTAAGAGTAGGAAAGTATGCTTATTTCGATATTTTCACTGAAGTTGGTGTCAACATAAACTTAATAGTCAGTAGATCAGTGATTCAGTGAGACGATAAAAGCTAAAACGTTTATTTGTGATTCTACCATAACAGTTTGTACGAATTATGCTAAATTGAAGTATTAACTATCAAGGCTCAAGAGACAATATACAATCCAACTGGTCAAGGTGACTTCCTACTCTTTTTATACTAATTAAGTATTTTCTTCTCAAATTATTTTTAGATAAGTTAGAAATGAAACAGTCTTTAAAACTAGAAAATCTACACGTTTGTACACTCAATAATGAAGTCGCAGATCAGATCTAGGTTTCAGTATCGGTAACCAAATATTAAGCGATCATCCCTCACATAATAAACGTTTTGATTAGACTTACTACTAGATTTTGTGGTCACAAACAAACACCAAGTTGATATGAGAGTAGATGATAAACTTGAAACTCCAACTTAAGCGTATGTTCCTAATATATCGCAACAAGATAACAATAAATATTTCTGTTCATTTGATAATCAATTCCAGTACTCTTAAGGGAACAAAAATAAATCCAACTAATATACCAAGATATCCGATTTTGGACATGTGGCTAAAGACAGAGTATGCAATTTAAGTCGATGACTAAGATGAAGGAATTAATTGCTATCACTGTGTCAATATTCTTTGAAATGTATGGAAATTTTTTTTCATGGAACAAGTAGGTACGTACGCGAAAAAAAAGTTGGTTGCAACACGTCCAAGTCTATGTTTAATCAAGCCAGTCACTGATTTTAGTTTAAACATTAACATTTAATAAAAACTAACGAAAGTTTACACGCTGAATAACACAGAAAACTGACCTAATATAAGATCAATACGTCAAAGTAGGAGATTTACGTTTCACCAAACATATAAGCCTTTTACTTTAGCTAATACCCTACTACAACATTCTATTAAAATGATGAACATTCAAGATAGTCAAGAGGATATAAAGATAATTTCCAAGTAAACAACTGCTAAGTGATTTCAATGTAAAAAAATCAATAAACACATCCCTGATCTTATTTTAATTTATGGATAGATATATAAACAAACAAGGTACATTATTAATTTATAAAATATACTAAAGATAATAAACAAAATAGTTCACTCGTCTCTTTTTTTTGACGTATGACAATATAAGTTTGTGAGAAAACTCGAACTCTAGAGTGACTAGCATATATATATTGAGAGAGGAGAGACCCATTACTATAAGATAGAGTGATCTAACTGAAAAACAAATGAGCAAAACTTAAAGGCATATACATACAAATACACATAAAAGTAGAAAAACTAATGAGTTGGGTACTCATTGCATCCTAATAATATAACCGGACATGAATTGATGTAGAGGGTTTAAACACATTGCCTACTGTATTATTAACAGTTATTACAATACAAAATTAAAAGTATTTGACGAAGTTACAACTAAACTTAATTGGTTAGAAGTAGACTGACGATTACGCGATTGTTATCATAATTAAAGAATTAGGAAAGCAACCCGTGACATCATTAAGCAAAATAAAAATAAGGTTTAGTCAAGAAAATCTTCTTTCCAATATTTCATTAAATAAAATTGTACAATCATATTTATGTTGTTAGTTGATAAAAATAAATTTAATAGCTGAATTCATGAGTCATTTGAATCTAGACCACCATGGAAAACCTGGAAGCATTGGTCGACCGTTTTGTCCTAGTATGAAACTTCTCAGCAGTGCGCATCCACGATTCCGCCTAGCAAGATTCCAACCCATGACCTATCAGTCTCGTGCATGAGCGCTTAACCTCTAGACCACTGAGCCGGCATCCAACGCTATTAATGTCTAACTTCAACTAATCCACAAAATTGAACGACACATTCAACATTGTCTTCAGTCAGTTACTATCTCACAACAAACAGGGTTGAACTCCACTGGTCACTGCTTCTCACTAGAACTCTAGGAACTACCTCTTGGAGACAGTCACTAGTACACGTATGATTTTATTCAGAGAGGGGTTTTGTGGATATTATGGTAATTTAATAGTTGAATTTATGAGTCAATTGAAACTAGGTCACCATGGAACTTTGTTGCGTCATTAAAAAGTGAACCAAAGATTAATCGAAAACAATTTTCTATTTTATTACAAACCATAATGTGTAAAATAATTGTATAAATAAAATTGTACAGCTTTAGTAAATAGAACCTTTTAAAAAGAAACTTTTTGATGAACCGCCAATATTATTGTCGTTATTATTACTGATATTATAATGACATAATTGTCGACAGAAATTTCTTTCAAAATAAACTCATTAAACGGAGATAAGAATCCACAATAAATATTTATGCGTACATAGGTGAAAAACCAAGTACTACAGTGGACTACTACGACGACGAAGACCACTGAGTTAGATTCGTATACTATGGATAAAACATGTAGTGTATTGTTTAATAAATACATCATATAACAAGTAAGCGATATCAAAGTAAAACCTTTAAGAGAGAAAAAGAACAGTATGAAGAAAACAAATAATGACAATCAACACAACTACACGGTAAGATGAATATAGTTATTTTTTGAAAAAGAATTTCTAGTTCACTTGCCAACTAGACAGAAATTAACCTAGAAATAGGACACTTATTGGTTTGTTGTGTTATCATTTTATTTCTTCAGATCCAATAGTTAAAGTACATCGATTGATAACTTTATTGAGGAAGATTAGTACGAGGTGAAAAAAAGCAATGTGATAATAAAAATATGATCAATAGATTAAAAGTAAAGTAAAAGTGATTGGTGTCATTCAGAAAAATATAACACGTTGAAAATGTTGTACAGCAATCATCATATTGACAAATGAACAAAGGAAAAAAATGAATGAATGAGGTATGACGAGTTTTAAGCATACTTATCACCAACAGCTGGTTCTCTACACATTAGTTTACTACTAAGTACTTTTATAATAATAGTAATAACAGTAATAATAATAATAACAATATTATTATTATTATTCAATCAGTCAGTTACAAGCAGTGTAAAACCTGGAGCATATATAGATAGGATCAAGTTCCCATACTGTTATCAGAACAACAAGGCTATCATAATAAGTCAAATTAGTTGTATCAGTATCAGTGGTAGTAAACAACATTAGCCGTCGAACCACAAATTACTCAGTCAGTAGTTAATATAATACGCAACGTCTTGAAGGCATCTGCAATCAAATACTAGCGGGTTTTATATTTCATAATCATAAAGTTTAACAAAATGAACTTTTGTGCAATTCTTTGACTGGTAGATAACCACCTTGCCTACTGCTATTCTGATGTAGATTGGCAAGAGCAAGCTACGATTTCGTCAGATAACAACCCATCAGGACTGATCAGAGTTGGGACGGCTCCTGAGAACTTCGACACAGCCTCCAGAGGCTTTAAAGGATTCGAGGAGTTTCCATCCAATCAGAATGTGATGGAGCTTTCTAGAATATCAACGTGACATACTACTATTGGACAGTAGCACATAATGCCCATTTGTGGATTGGTTGAATTATAACGTTGATACAACAAACGCTAATACCTATAAATACCGATGATTTTCTGTACATTTTGATTCTTACCCAACAAGCACTCCTCCGGTCTTCTGATTTACGACTGTGGGGGGGTTCTATACATTCGAGTGTCGTATTCTGCGTTAATCACGTAGCGAACATAACAATCAGACTTCCAAGATAAGTGAAATGGTCGACATCCTCAAATATTTTATTCTTAATCATTGGTTTAGGGATTGATGCAGACCATTTCTGAGGAAACATTTTGTATATAGAGAAAGAAACGTATCCCCATCTTTTGGGCCTCTATGACGTATCCCCAATATAGCTTGGATTGTTACTCAAGTCGATTAGACAGTATTAAACAACGAATACAATTATAAGTTTTGTGAAAACAGTCATACGAATTTGCATTACTGTGAGAGAGAACAAACTAGCATCCAGCTGAAGAGGAAATTAGGAAATGGCGATGGAAATGGATAGGACATACATTACGGAAATCATCAAGCTGCATCACGAGACAAGCCTTAACCTGGAATCCTGAAGGGAAGTGTAAAAGAGGAAGGCCGAAGAACACATTACGTCCGGAAATAGAAACAGATATGAAAAGGATGCATAACAGCTGGAAAGGATTGCCCAGGATAGGGTTGGATGGAGAGTGCTGGTGGGCAGTCCATGCTCCTCCACAAGGAGTAACAATAAGTCAACAACCAACACTTCACTGAGGAGCTTTACATTCAATGATCGAGTTTACGTGAGCAGTTGGCGAAACCTCAAAATCCATATTGACTGAGGTAATTGATCTCATTTTATATATCATACATAACCACACTGCATCACATTTGATCTATAATTACATCCCTTTTCATAATGCAGATTGTGTGGTTTAGTATGTCACCACAACCAAACCATGATACGTTAAAAGATTATAAGGAAACTAACAAATTATATAAGATATTTGAATGCCTATCAAAAGTTAAGAATACTATCCAGAAGCATTCCAAGACTGCTAATACAGTTCCTTATACTACTCTACGGTATTTAAACATAAGGAATGAGTGAGTGAAAACACTAGACCATATTCAGCGAAGATTATTTAAACGAGCTTTAGAAAACACAAATGGATAAGACTAAACATGTTTGTTTTCAACGCCAAGATATGTTTGTTTCAAAGCTTACTCTGTTTACTGGCGCACCTGAAAGGGCAATATAAAGTGATAAATAATTCCACTGACTAAAAACAGTAAACCAAGAGAGGACAAAAGATAGAGCATTAAAAGGGTGATTTATTAATGTAATCCGTAAAAATCCAAAACTTGTAATTAATCTCGTTTTCTGAAAATCTAACCATTCATTACTGAAATGTCAGTGCTGCTGATACATTTCACACCATCTAATTCCGTGCTGACGAGGTATAAGAAAACGAGCTAGAATGTGGTTTGTCGTTCTAATTAAACTCTAATCAAATAATTTGTTTTAAAAAGGACCTAATTCCCACTATGTAACATAGATACAAGCCTTTATTACTATTATCACAACTAGTACATCTGTCATCACACTACCAGTCTGTACTCTTTACTTATTATGTTTATTTATGCAGTCCAATCCACTGTTAACACTGAGTCATGAACTGTTTTGATTGGTTTAATAATTTCATATATGCATATAAATATTACTGTATATTAGAGTGAAGCCTGATGAGGATCTAGTCGAAAGCAATATTGTTCGTTTATACATGTTATTCTAATTCATAATAAGCAATTGTATTTTCAGTATAATTGGTCCATCGTAACTTAGTTTAATATCTTGACATATCTAGTCACCAAATGTATTCAACACCAAAGCAAATCATTTTAAAACGAACTCCTAGTTATTTTTCATTCGTTCCCCTTTCTTAGTACGAACACTTCCTGGTTTATTACATTTAGTCAGTTAATATATATCTCAGTGGTAGTATTACGCTATAGTATTATATCAACTTTTAGGGCGCATCCTTGTATCGATTTCAATGAAACATGGGGAAGTTTGTATGATCCATTATTGGACTGTTTTCAATTGTTCACCACGGCTGAGGTCATTCACGTAGAAAAATAAATTATTCTCACAAGGGACATCTCTTCTCTTCATAAGATATCTTACTGTACTGTTAACCTCTTTTTCTTGAATTATTTTTTCTTATAAATATTGGTCTAGAATTGTCCCAAATACTATTGTGGTGTGGGCTACTGATGTCGACAGATATAAGTAGTACCACGAATCAAAAGTGAGATGTCTGGCAGGAGAAGGTTAGGAAGATCGAAGGAGAGAGAACGAGAACAGAGAATGATTGGTGTGGAAACGAAAGAACAATCAAGTCCGAGACAATTGATTGACATTTTGCAAATAAAGTAATTACTGTATGATTCTCATATTTTATTAAGACGTTCTGTAATTTGTATTCAAATACATTTGGTTGTCCCCACTTGTGCTCGTATTCACTACACTATGACATACGTGAAGCATATTAGGGATCTCAGTAAACTGAAAAAATTATTTCGAATCACTGCATCCCAGTGAAATAATATACACCATTCAATATTTAACTAATTAAATTATACAAACGAATCAACTAATTATCTAAAACCAGTTACGTAACTATAAACATAAGTAAACTTAAATTTTTTTATGCATCTTGATACACGAGCAGAATTCATAATATTTACTAACGAAATGATACGGGGTGAAATTCCAACATTGTTAAAATAATAACAATAATATCTTACTTGCGAAAACAACTTTCGTATCACTATTAACCATTTCATCAGTACCAACAGAAGATAGGCCGGGTGATGAACCGCCAGCTGTTGTGGACTGTGGAAACGAGGATCTTGTAATTGGTGAGTTAGTTGTACATATCGGTACTGAATTTAGTAAATTGTTTTCATGCAATATACTCCATTCTTGATACAGATTTTGATAATCCGGATTATTTCGATTCGCATGTGAAGTTTGCATAGATGCTACATTTGTAACTGATTCTAATTCCTTGAAGGTGAGAAAGTGATTTTTTCAATACAAGATAATTAGAGGTTTGTAGGTAAATAAAAAGAACTGTAAGTGCTTTATTATATATATAAAACCTGGTTATAACGGAAAACACCACATCTACAGAATTTAATTTAAAACGAAAAACTGGCTATCCTGGTGCTTGCTCTTTTTTCAACAGAGTTCACTTACAGCAAGTCTTTACTGTTACACGTCCAGGAAGAAGCATAGTTATGGTCGTTGTTAAAAACGTATGTCGACTATGAGTGCAGTATGACTATTTGCAATAATCAGAGTTTAGTTAGGGGTGCACTCTATTTGTATCCTTTTCTCGATCTTCAATTTAAGTATTCGTCCATAAGTACCTTTCTATTCTGTTTTTGCGGGTTACATTCTCAATATTCAGTCTTATTCATTGTTGTTTTAACTGAATTCCTCCGATCGCTTCTGTTACGTACTTTGGGCCAACCTACATTTATGCTCTGAAGGGAAACGAAAAGGAGGAAGACCAAAGAACACACTGTCTAGAATTGGAAGCAGATATCTGAAGGATGAATAACAACTGGAAAGGGCGGTCCATGACAGAGTTCAATAGAGAATGCTGGTGGGCGGCCCGTGCTCCTCCACGAGGGTTAACAGGCGTAAGTACATCTATGCTAGGTTGTATGTTAATAATGAATGATTTACTGACTTACAAGTATTGTTTAGACTTGTATAAAACTACTTAATTACAATTAACTTAATTCAAATGATCATCTTAGTTATGAAACTTCTGAAGATAATACTTAATAATTAAGTACAAAAACGTTACGTGAAACAATGAGGGATCATGTGTTGTTTACCCAGAGTGGTTAAAATTAGAAGCTAAACATTCAGTAGAGGTGGCCTGGTGGTTAACGTATTTGCCTTTTAATTAGCAAGTTGCATATTTACATTTCATCCAATCCACTCCGGTTTAAGTGCAGTTACACGACAAAAGCACGGGTCACATTTGAATATGAAAATTCGCACTTATTGCATGAGTAAGTCAGGAATGTAGACAGAAAAAAATAGTTAGGTTATGAGCAACGAAAGGTCAATTCAAAAAATCTTAGCTCATCTAAATTCTGATATGATTACAACCAACCACTGGTACAGCCCATTCAAATTCTGTCATTGTGAAGTTTAATTTACTCATTCCCCTCGTTCTTCGTTAACAATTGAAATCCATACATTACACGAAAAACTCCAAATGTAGAACATTATTTAATTCACAACATAAAAAACCAATGGATAGATTTACACGTTATTTCTTCATTGTCCAATGAACAAAATAACGTATACTGTTTATAGTTTGCTTTACACTCAAATATGCCGGATAGAAAAACAGTAATGGTAATTTATAAATATTTCTTCCGTATATACATTGAGCTCAACAACCGTCATAGTATGAATGAAAACCAACTTCTACTTTCAATCACCAAGTTCCAAGTTAGAACCCTTCCCCACCTACATCGATTTGAGCAACCGGGTACTATAATTAACCCTCTATTAAAACTAGAGTGTATCTCATACCCAAGTAGCTGATGATTTAGTTTATTTAGTCATTATTTGACGTTAACAATGGTAATAATAATAATAATAACAAAATAAATGATCAACAAACGAAAAACAAAGAAGAATATTCGAAAAACGAAACTACGAGAAGACAAAGATATCAGAAGAGACAGCAAACAAAGAATAATGCGTAAATAGGGTAGAATGTAAACAGCCTAAAAGTTAATAATCAATATAATTTACAACACTATGTAACAATATTTAACATTATCGCAAGCAAATGATAATTCGTGAAAAAAAACAATTTTATATATATATATATATATACCATAAAAAGATTAGGGTATGTGAAATTAATGAATTGGTTATGAATTGTGCATGTAAATGTTCATAGTATCAATCTATCGCTAGTTACTCATGCTGATAACTCGAATTACATTAGACAAAGAAGCAGACAATCAGATAAGGTATTAAGATTAATATAATTCTATCAGCTAAAAATGATGAGTAGTATTGGGATTTCAATTTGCTAATCAAATATCAGTAATTTAACGGTTCGCAGTTGAGCTAGTACTAATGTTGTTATTAGAAAATTTCAATTAAGTTAATTTGTTAATAACACCTTATATAATGAAAGATGGTGTACTGGTTACGTGATTTCAGTTCGTTCGCATTAAAATCCAGTTTGTTGGTAGGTTATAATTTTGTTGGTGGTTACTGGCGATCGACGTGTTGCAGAGTGAGGAAAAAAACGCAAAACAACATTTTCGTTAACTAATGTTGTGATCCAGTGATCGTACAGCTTATTGTTGTGGTATCAGGGTGCATTTAGGTTCTCTATGAATACAATTTATCGCGATTACGATCGTTTTTAATCACGTTCAGTTTTCGAAAAAACTGGATATTTTATTAGTGGCTCTATTCAGTATTATATATTAGGTGTAATATAGAATTCTCAGCACAAATAATTTCAACAGGTTTCTTTATTTTTATTTCTTGGTCAATCCTTGTGATAAATATTGAGTGGTCACCATTTAGATGTTAGCAGTTCAGGACACGACATCTGAATAATGTATATTCTATTCGATACATATATCCAGCAAACACGATGTCTCTGATTGGGCTCTTTCATAACCTGTACAGCGAAATGTCGTAAACTTTTCACAAACGCACCTGAATAGTCATGAGATTAATAGGCATAATGACGTGTTAAAACAAACGAGTAAAAAGATAACTCGTCGAAATATCCAGATAGCAGGAACAATTAGCCCAGATATTCAAGCAGGTCGCCTCTATCATATAAAATAATTCGATTATTTCCCTCCAGCAAGCGTAAATCAAAAGATCTGACGTCTAACATTTAGCCAAATGACTAGGATGAACAAAGAGTAGTATGAGATTACAAGCTATATAAATGAAATTATCATAACAATATGCACTAAATGAGTTATTAAAAAAATAACCAGTGACAAGTTTTAGAATAATTTGCCAGCAACAAACAGTTTCGACTCCTGCATATGTACTGTGCGACGTTAAGGATGAAACAAACGGTTATTTTCATATGGATTGCGTACAGAAAAGTTTCCACATACACAAATACATAGATACACATATGATCTTACACCAAATCTCAAAATCCCTCAATGTAACACAGAAGCGCCTTGTGAATACTAGTTAATTGATTACCCTCATTAAATAGTCCATAAATTTCGAATGTGTAGAACTTAAAACAGTACGCCCATAAACCCCACTTACACTCATGTATTTGAAGCCATTCAGATCCTTCAATAATATAAATCTAGGAAATATCTCATTCAATAATACTGTCATTCGTACGCTAGTTTTCTAACTAGTTTACATTCACATCCAAAAATATACATTATTGTGTTTATTTTTTGAGTTTCACTTATCATATGAAAACCGGAGTTTCTATCAAACTAGTCAAACTAAATGAGATTGCAGTAAAGTTCCAACGTATAACTTCAAAACAATAAATAAATTGAACGCGTAAACTGATATGTTAAAATGATACAATAACTTCAGTGTAGTTAATACACTTATTTTGTGTGTATCACATGAATAAGACAATAATATATTATATTATATCCCTTAGCTATAAGAAAACAATGAGAAATGCATTAGAAACAAAAGTATCAATTTAAACTTGACAAAGCATTAATAGTAGTTATCGAATAGTAAACCTAATTACAAAACATAGCACGTTACCTAATCATAATAGTAAAAGCTAGCTAGTACCATACTGAAGGGAATACAAAAATTGGTCAAAAGAGTAAACTGAAATCTAATTAAGTGATTTAATGTGAACCTATTGCATATTGTTACTGGGGTTCAGTATGGCTTAAGATGTTACGGATTTAGGAACGAACACGATTGAGCTTCTCTAATGCGATCAGTTCACTTCGGAACTGACAAGTCAATTATGCTCAACACATCAAACCACGATGGCCAAAACAAGAAGACTGAATCGCAGGTAACTTACATTTGTGGTAGAACAAGTAACTCAAACGAAATTGATACAAAAGATGTTACTATAGTAGCAGAATATGACCTTCCAGCATGTAACAAATTAGCGAAATAAAAAAACGTGACAGCCAATCAGAGGATAAAGGTCATGTGGAAAATCAAATTGGTTGAAGGTATGTGAGCGGTTATCATTCCAAAAGAGATCTTAGCCTATATAATAAAATCTGACTATTCATGAGACCACCCTAGCAGAATCGTAATTACTGAATATATATTTAGTCTCTTATCATATAAAGGGTTCTGAATAGCCTAAAACTTATAACTCTTCACAGTATAATGTGTTAATTACCTCACAAAATAAGTAACAAAATTACTGGGGTTCATTCAAAAGCTAAGTGTTTTTTTATAAAACACACATTAAAGCATATCGATTGATTAAATGTTACTAATATAAAAAAGTTGTTTTCTACGCAATTTTTTTATTTACAAATCCACACCTGAAAAAGACTATTCATATGATTGAATATCTTCCAATAATTCCTCATTGCCTATTCACCTTAAAGTTGCTAGTGAATTTAATATTATTATTATCATGCACTGATAAAATTCAATCAAAATTTGAACATAACTACATCCAAGAAGTTGACAGTAGTTTATGATTTGAGAATGCATGTCGACGTATAGGTATGAGCATAACATGTTCATGTCACATACGCCGAAAATGCATTATTTTACGTGACATTTGCGTAGTATATCATTGTAATTTATGCTTAACCTGAATATACAACTTGTCTAATAAAAGAATGAAGAGCTAAGAGCAAAACAGTTTTAGTTTAGATATACGTAAATTGAGGTAAACATAGATCTATTATAAACAACCTACATATAGAAAGACTATATGAACAGGAACGCATTTCAATTTTATTCATTCCTGATCACAGTTGAATGAAAACGAAAACTGATAACGAGTTTACCTAGTAAAATCCAACATATTTGTAAAACGGAAACTATACAAGGTGAAGTCAAGATGTTAAATGAAATATTCGCATAGAGAGGAAGTTCAACAAAATTAATAATCTGTTGAGAAGACTGTGATATGTTGAAACCCACTAAGTTTTTAACATTGTATCAAATTACAATTCATACATAAGTCAAATAGCATAAAGTTTCTAACAAAAAAGCATAACCTGTGCTCGAATAAAAACAAAAATATCATCCAAACAATTACATTGCATCCCATTGTTTTTATCAATATACATGTATATGTAGACGTAACTATAGACAAAAATAAACATAATATAGAACTAAGGATTGTTAGACGTATATATGAATGGTTGTAAAAAAAAGCTTCAAAAAATAGACGATAAGCAGCCGTTTTTTTTTAGCACTAAACAGAGATTACAAACAAGCTATTGAATTCATTCAAATTTCCCTAGTGTATTCAGAAATACAATTTGTACTTACATTAAATATACCCTTGTAATATTGATTTAAAGTTTTCAATACCAAGAGTCGGTGTTAATAGACCTTTTCATTGTTTATTTGTTTTACGATTGTTACCATTTATTTATTTTGACATGTTTATCTTACAGATTAATATCTTTATAGGTTAACATGTGATTACATCATTGTTCGATATGGATTGTCTTGATACAACACAGTTCTAATTTATTTCGTCTTCTCATTACACCACATAACACCACCTAAATTAATCAGAGACCTGTTTTACACAATAAGAGCGCACATCAACTCTGTGGTGCAGGCATATCCAACCGACGAGTTCCAAATAAGACGAAACGGGAGTCCTAGATTCCGCTGTTAGCCACATTCCATCTTTTCTTTATAAACAAAAACATTTTGAAGCATACCAACGCAAAGTAATTGGCGCAATAAAAATACTTTATTTTCTTATTATTGGAAAATAACTGTTTAATGAAGAAAGTGAAAATGTTAACTAAACAAACTACTTTAACGCTTACCTGAATACGTTTGACCAATTGTCCGATAACTTTTGCAGCTAAACTAGTTTCTCGTCGAACTTCCGGTATTTGTGCCAATTCCGAACGTAATAAACAAATAAATTCCACTGAATTCTTCAATATATTTCCTTTGTTCTTTTTACCATCACTTTAAATGAAAAACAAGCACATACAGGCATATATGCGTAAACAGATGATGCCAATTCATACATATGACAAGTATAAAGATTATATGATACTCCTGCATTTTAGTGATTTTCTGTAAGAGATGACCACCCGATAACACACACAATCACCTCATAAAATTTCAACTTAGTCAACTCAGATCAGTGACAACTTGGTCAATAGAATTAGATTAGCAATAAAGGGCAGGACACCCATAAATGACATTAGTCATTACTACTCAGACATCGATCAATTGTAGGTAACTGTTCATGGCCAAAAAACATTCAAAGGAATTTATTAGGAGGGATATGGAATGACTATTTTGAAGCTATTAAACGGTAAAAGTTTGATTCTTATCAAACAAAGAATATTTAGTTAGTTTTAACGTTTAAATCTGCACATTGGTTTGAGCGACAAACTTCTAGGAAATATTGACGACTGTTTGTATAATAGGAAGTGCGACATTTTATCAGCCTACTATTATATATAATGAGGTCTATATACATACTATGCGAAGACCGAGGATGATATTCACATTGAATTACATTGCAATTTGTGACTTAATAGTTTAGGGTTGATGTATTTATGGATCACTTTGGATTGCCTAGGGGCGGCCAAACCAAAACATGGCACAAGTCCATGAAGTCACTGACAAGTGAACTGAGTCATGTTGGTAGGTGTAGACTACCTGGTTGGGGACCGCGAGATGACAGCAACCGTTGGTTAGAGACCCTGAATGACATGGCTCAAATCGTTTGCAATGGCGCAGGTGCATCCACTCTCTGTGTTCTCCCAAATTCTAATCTTCTGAATTCTTCATGTCCCTTTTTTTCCTCTTTCCAAATTTCTTTCACTGGATTATACTCTTTAAATAACATCTCCAAACCCTAATCTTCCCGATTACTGCTTATACTCTCATTACCTCTACCACGACGGGATTTGAATCGACAAGTGCATCTCTGTGCTAATGTGGTGTGGCAACTCGAACTGATGTACGTACGTACGAAGTTCTACGTTGTTACTGACTGACTGACTGATCACTTTTTGTAGTCTCGTCTAGATAAAACAGAGGGACAGTTTAATTTGGCCAAATGATATTCGCCTATAGCCATTGACTATTAGTTTGAGCAGTACGGTAGCTAAACTACGATTTGAGATCATTTAAAAATGTGGGAAAACTGAAGTGAGTTCGGAATCTGGCGGAATAAATCTTAATATTCTTTAAAATAAAAATACGACACGAGTTCTTAAATAATTTTAAAACAAATGAGTACCTCTCAGATTTTGCACTTATCGTTGATATTCTTGAAATACTAGATGAAATCAATAAGAAAGAGCAGGATAAGGATATTTCTGCACCTGAATTGCATGCAGAAGTAAGAATAGTATTTGAAATCAAACTCAACTGATTGCCTAGATAATATAAGAAACTTAACTACGCTTAATCTGAGACCTCATTGAAATCTATATAGGAATGTATTTTCTACGCTTAAGTGTTCAAAACATTTCGAAGGCCCTAAAGTGTTCAAACAGGAGTTTAATTTACCGACTGGGTAATTTTCTTTTGATGTTAAGATAGCTAGACACAACATTCATATGGAAGTAGTGGATCCTCAGGCTGACACTAGGTCAAATAGACGCTTCAAACATAGAACACTGGTGGAATTGTATTCGTTGTTGACAGAGGATATTTTTCATAATCAGAAAACCTTTTGGCGTAAAATGCCCATTTCGAGGCCTAATTAAATTTATGGACTAGAGTTGCTATGTGTGAACTTTAATGATTAGAAATGAAGATTTAAACTAATGAATACATATTTATAGGCATTATAACAAGCAAAATGATTTGGGATTACAACAATTTGATGGATTTATCTTACTGAGGATAAGGTGACATTCATAGCACTAATAATTGCATAAGTGTTAATTTTGTTAAAAGTGAATGACCCCTTAACAGAATCTCAATATACGTTTTTCTAAAATTTTGTGTGTGAGGCCTGATAGAGTATCTAGGGTCCATACACAGCTCATTTAAAGTTTCCCCACTATTTCATATATCATAACCTTTATTTATTTTTTATCACGTTACCAACCATATATGCGATACACTATGTTAAAATTATTTTTTTACTTCACTCCAATAATTACGTTTAGTTAGTTTTCTAGTTGATGTACTCTGTTTACAGTATCTATCTTGATTTTGTTTTTAAAGATTTTATAGGTCGTTTAATGCGTTCTGTTTTCAGTTCCAATTTTATTAATATTAAGAGTGAAATACCAGTAGTTTGGTTGCAAAATAATGAAAACAGGTTAGAATAGGATTTCGTACAACTTAAAACGTTGGTAAATCCAACAAATTTGTGTAACGAAGTATAATAATGATAATAATAATAATAATAATGATAATAATAATAATAATAATAATAATAAATAATCCGAAATAATGAAAGAAATAAGTATGATTGAAAGTTTTGTAAAAAAAAAACGCTGAAATCCCATACCCATCTCTGAACATATCTTCAGGTAATAAACTTCCAAGTTCAGCAATTTGGCAGTTAATGTAATCTCGTCGCTTACGTTCAACTAAGAGAGAGAGAAAATATAGTCTTTTAGGGTGAATTTAAAACATTCAAAGCGTATCCTTTCAAGTTACAATTACACATATATTTAAACTAACCATGAACGCTACTAGAGGTGTATAAAACTAACTTTATCAAGAGATCAAACACATTCCTATCGAAGAGCAATTTTAAAATGACTTAATTTTCTAAAAAGAATTTCGTTGTAAATATAAAGATTCAACGAAAGGTTGGAAGATGGGGAAACTACAAAGTTGACAGGTACTTGAATAAGGCGCTATCATTAAGCAGAAATTGTTGTACAAACAGAAAAGATATTTGAATCTTAATTGTATTACCTGTGATTATTACAGTATGTATTACGCCTATGCAGCGACTGTTCACTTCAATGTGTATAGTAGACAATCAGTTGACAAAAGCATTGGTGGAACTTGATATAGATCTAGCAAAAATTAAGAATTTACTAACCGCGTATTTACATCATACAGTTAACAGATAATACATCATTTTAACTGTGGAAAAAAAAGTAGGTTAGATATAATACCTTTTAAAAGAAATTTAACTGCTTATAGTCTAAGAAATCTATATAAACGAGGTGTTACGAAAATGACGTTCTTGAAAAATAAAATAATTTCATGTGAGATTATTTCTGTGGAATATAAGTCGATGATAAAACTACTTAGACATTCATTCTGATTATTTCAGTGTAATGGTTTAAACGAATGATCGATTACTTTACCGAAAAAATCATAAACTCGATAAATCACATTTTCATATCGGAAAAAGCAACAACCAATGAGAAAATGGAAACAAAAACAAGTATTACTTACTTCGATTATGACTATCTTTTTTCGATCGATCTCTCATCCAAGCTACCCGCTGATCATCTATATTTCGACCACTAGTTGGTGAAGATATATTCCCAATACTTAGAGGACCATGACTTACCGGAAGACTAGTAGCTTCCGGTGTACTATTTAAACCACCCAATGGACTACTACCGCTTTCACTTAGCACCGATTGAGCAGCTCTAGATCCTGACTGTAATGGACTAGTATTATTATCTGTTGTACATAAATCATCTGGTACAGTAGCTGGACATGATGACGATGCTGTGATACCAGTGTCATCTCGATTGAGTTTAGTACTTTCTTTCATAAAAAAAGGATTCATATCTACAGGACTGGCTTGTACCAAGGGATCCAGCTTATTCCCTGTTTTTAGCATTGTTTTTGCTGTTGCTGACAATGTTGATGTAGTACGTTGTAAACGTTCGGAAGAATCCGGTGTGTGATGTGGAAAATCAATGGTGGAATCAGACACACCAACCTTTGTAAAGCAAGCAGTTAACAAAGAGAAAATATGAAGATTTCGTCACCAACTATGGAAAGCACCCGATAGCAAAAACCACATATACATAAAAAGACAGATTAAATCATCGGGATAAGCCAACAACAGTTCTGTACCGCATTAATATAACTGACAAAACTGTCATTCTAAACGTCCGATCAACAATAATATAACATTGAAGTCCAATAAAATCAAACAATTTAGATTTGGCTTTTAATTAAAAAGCAACAATTTCAGCTGCATAAACGAAAAATTGATAAATGATTTTTTCAAGTATACTTGTATGATTTTGTTGGAATATTGCATTGTTTACCACTGTCGACAAACGTACACCCAATTGCACACACACAAAAAATTAACTCTTATTATATTCTAGAAGCTTCAAAGAAAAGCGTTGTATGATTACTGTTTTTTTGCACGACTAGACGGAGAAAACGCTTCTTTTGCAGAAAAATTTAGAACAATGAAATAGTTTAATTCTACATTTAAATATACGGTTAGGTTAAACAAATATACATTGAGATTAATAATTAAGCTGAAAAACTTTATAAAATGAATGATTGTATTACAAATACAAAGTTTTTTTCTTGCTTTTATGACCCAACTCAATGCTACTTTGCAATAATAAGTCAAACATACATCATTTTTGTAAAATAAATCCATATCTATCACTAATACAAATAATTCATTACAATGCACGTTTAAGCATACCTAAACGGAGACAGAAAAACGTGCAGTTTTTTTATTAAGAATAAGTTCAACCGCACACCATTTATCTGATAAGTATATAATTAAAAAGATACCTACTAATAAAAACCAAATTTTGATCACAGCTAACACTTGACTAATCAGAAAAGAGCTATGATTATAAGCATTAATTCGTCCAGTTAATTGAAGCACATTAAACTTATTATATTAAACAATGTTTTTTTTATTTACATAACACTGTATATATGCACGCAGCTAGATACAATGATCGTAAGAGTTGTTCACTGTCCATCACAGTCAGTGAAACCAGCTAACGTTAACAGCAAGTAGCACTTACGCAGCCATTTCCGCTATACATATGGTAGGTGTTTCTTCTTTTTGGAAGATCGCGATAAAAATAACTTCAACCTTATAGTTTTGAGAACAATATTATTCTGAATTTATATCAAAAGGAAGGAGTAGAGCACAACTATCATGATAGATTAATAATTATTGTGCGATTTTCATTCACTTTTACTTCTCAAGTTATATATTACCACCATTGAATTAACTACTTCTATGAATCCGGTGTTCATCTTGCTGTGCTAATGCAGTATGGCAACTTGGACTGATGCATATATGTGCCTGGTCCTACGTTGTGGCTAACTGACTTAACGATTAACAAGTAATCGATGCTTCGTAGAACCTTTACTGAATATTAACGTACAGGAAGAATAATTATTATTTCCCTAGTACATAATCATGTACTCAGTCAGTTAACGAACAATTATGTTTGCTGCCATCTGTTAGATAAAAAAAAGGGCATTAGATCCGTCAGTAAATATCAGTTTATTCGTTCTTAATTAGTTCAGAAGTTTATTATAATCACTAGAATTGTGATAACAAATACAAGACATAAAATATCAATATTTATTTCATTTGAGTTTGAGGTTGTTGAATAGAATGTACGTATAACACACCTTGATAGTGACAGATTTGTGTTTTAAAGCAAACGTTATAGTTAGTTAAACTAATAGTTTAAAATGATTTAAATGATTTAAAACATAATCAAATCATGATTCTTTAATATCTTCATTATGTATGTCAATTCCGACTAATATTATGGTACACAGATTTAGGCTAGAGGATTAACTACTAAGGGTAATAAACTTCGTAGTATACAAACATGGACACTCCGGGGATTGGACCCAGTGACTTCTAGATTCCCGGTGACTGCCTCATTCTTAAGCAACTGATTTGGAACCTAATAAGAATCATAGTCCCAACTTCCATTGATTCGTGATACGGCACGATCAGCAGTCGATGTCCTTGGCGATAACAATGAGGACTTTCTTCAAACTGAACTAAAATTTACCACAGCACCCAACTAAAATTAATCGAACAAGTAAGCAATAAGATAACAACAAAACGATACAAACATCAAAGTTAATTTTGTATCTATTCACTATCATCTATCGACAACATACAAACATTCTGTCAAGAGTAAGTTTCTGCAGACTACAAATAAATTATACTAACTTGAGAAATATTTTCAATAAGATTAACAAATAGATGCGTATGTTGACTACATTCCTATACTTCCAAGAAACCTTTCAGCTGTCACGAGGACGATTATATATACATATATGTATCACCACTGGCGTTGATTTACAAGAAAAGATAAAAAGGTATGCATCTAAACGTTATTTGTGCAGAAATATTGTTGTGAATTTTACCCGGTTGATTATCACATGATAAGGTCACCAATCAGAACACGACTCATACAATTTTAACACTGTGCCAAACCAATGACGTGTGGACCGGTACAAGCAGCTTAAAGTCCTTATTGGTCCCTATCGTCTAGCCCTGCCTGTTAAGTCCAGCACGCCAATATCTGCCTCCACTATACGAATAATATATTTTAGACTTCTTCGGTTTATATACAATCACATCAGACCACGTTATGCCATAAAATAAAAAAAGCAATTATGTACAAATTAACACCATCAATCATAAGACAATTTCATCCAGAAAAATTTTGTGTCTGACAAAATGAAGCATTAAACATAGACACACAAATGTACCATATATATGTGGGAGAGAGAAAAAAGAGGAAAGAAAGACTATGCTCCATGACGTTTCCAAAGGTAAATATAAAGAATTCTTTTTAATCACGAAAAAGATATATAGTTAGTGAAAAATAGCCCAAAGACAGCTAATAGCTTAGTTTGATGAACCATGAAATTTATTTCGTAATGAGACTAAGCTACATTTTTGATTAGTTGACTTTATTCTATCTTGCAACTATTGGTAATTTAGTTGAATAAGTTTTATTCAGTTTAAAATGTTACTATTAAAATTATATAAAAATTAATCATTAATTAATAACTAACAAAAAAGTATGTATAATCATAAGTAAACTTGAGTAGTTTTCAAATAAAACACAGAATAGTGCTTTAATCAATGCGATTATTATTCATGAACTATTTCCAAAGTTCTTTCAACAATTCTATATAAGGATTAAGAAATGATTCAGTTGGTCAAATATAAGCAACATAGAACCTGGTTCAAGTTGTCACATCAAATCAACATATTCAGTCAGTCAGTCGGTAACAACGTAGAACTTCGTACTTACGTACATCAATTCAAGTTGCCATACCACATTAGCACAGAGATGCAGTTGTCGATTCAAATCCCGTAGTGGTAGAGGTAGTACGAGTGTAAGCAGTAATCGGAAAAATTAGGGTTTGAAGATGTTATTTAAAGAGTATAATTCAATGAAATAAATTTGGGAAGAGAAAAAGAGACAAGGAGGATTCAGGAGATCAGAATTTGCGAGAACACAAAGAGTGGATGCACCTGCGCCATTGCGAACGATTTTGAGCCATGTCATTCAGGGTCTCTAACCAGCGGTTGCTATCATCTCGCGGTCCCCAACCAGGTAGTCTACACCTACCAACATGGCTCAGTCCACTTGTCAGTGACTTCATGGACTTTTGCCATAGTGCGAAGAAATTATTGAAACAAATGATAGGATAGTAGAAGTAGTAACACTATAAGTAATAGTAGAAACGATTAGTCATAAACAGTGTGATTTGAGAATTAATCCACTGAACAGAGAGTTTGAAACAATAATGGAATTCAAGACATAAAAGCGAATAAAAAGTGAAAAATATTCGACCAAGACACTAATGACTATGAGTTGTTGATCAAAAAATAATTAATTAACTAAAGGTATCAAAGAAAAGCAAGAATGAGACAAAACATTTGATCATTGCATTAATGAAACCAGACCAATTCTATAAAAAATGTAAATGAAACGAGGAAGTTATAAAACAGCCTGAATTCAAATACTTAAATGATCTGTGATTGTATATCGGAAACAGTCGATGGAAACAAACGAGAATAAATCAGGGGATACACCTTTGTGTTTATGACATTGATTTCCAGCTCTATGATACATAATTAGATATATGATTTACCGGTTTACATCATTTTTGCGAAGAAAAATCCGAGTAAACGATAGATCAACACAACATAAATCTTTAGTAAATTCATGTGATGGAAATAGATTTTAACTGGTACAAGGAAAACTAAGATTACCTTTATTATAATTCTTATTTGTTTATTTTCTTACTTGCTTTTTGTAAACTTTAGGGTTTTATTTTATTTATTTCTGTTGGCCGTTATTCAGCTCTGCATAAAAAAGTTGTTGATATTATTATTGTTGCCTTTTTTCAACTTGAAATGAGATACAATTTAAACCGATATTAAATTGTACCGAATAATATAATCTGTATTGTCTATTCAGTCATATGCATGTATAACAAATAGGACAAATTACTGCAAAATTAACGAGGCCATAAGATTTTACCAGACAATTACGTCATTTAAGTAAACATGAATAAACTATGTTCTTTCGATTTGATTATATCTTTACTTGCATCCATGGAACAATTAGTAACAGTTTCTGAAAAAAAGTAGCTTGTTTAGCTTCTTGGTCTAGGAACTAATAAGTTTACACTTTAGTGATGGGGAGCAGGATACTTATTAACCGTGAATAATTTATAGACTTTTTTACTACTAATGATATTGTATGTACACAGAATGTAGAAGATAAGATGAGAGTCCAATTGTTCAGATAATCATGTAAAATCGTTTATATAGTTTATCATATAACAAAAGAAAATGTATACCTATCACTACATAATAAGCCAAATGATAAGAGTATACTAAATGTGGTTGTAGGATTTAATTTTATATAGATACAAGAATTAAAGCTTAGTAGACCGTAGTGACGGTTCAGAGACTATGTTTAACCTGTAATTAGAACACGTATAACGTACATTAAATGAACAGATACCTATAATTCAAATTAATTTTGTTTTTCAAACCTAGAAGACTTAATATAACCAAAGACAGTGACAACACATCTTTTTGATATGACGGTGTCACATAAATACTCAGTAATCCATTCCAAGTTAAAACTAGTGTCAGACAAGGCAGCCTAGACTCGCCTTTACTTGTTCTTGTGATTGTTGATTGGATTACGAAGAATACGAATATAGTCGACGCCTTGGACACAGTTGGACGACCTAAATGTGCTATCGCATACACGGCAGTATATAAATATGTCAAAACAAAGGTAACAGTTATACAACTGGAATTCAAAAGAACTTACACCGAAAACCAGTCAGAACTTTCAGCGCTAGCCTTAAAAGAGTCCTATTGTACTTACTTACTTACGCCGGTTACTCCTCATGGAGAAGGATAGACCATCCACTAGCAGTCTCCATGCAACTCTGTGCTGGGCAATCCATTCCAGTTGTTATCCATCCTTTTCATGTCTGCTTCGAATTCCCCGTATAGTGTGTTCTTTGGTCTTTTTCTTTTCAGTTTCGGTTCAGAATTCCAAGTTAGTCCTTGCCTCGTGATGCAGTTTGATGATTTGCCTAATGTGTGTCCTATCCACTTCCATCATCATTTCCTAATTTCCTCCTCAGCTGGAAACTGGCTTGTTCTCTCTCACTGTAGGTTGTTGCTGATGGTATCCGACCAACGGACATTGAGTATCTTATGTAGACAATTATTTATAAATACTTGTACGTTTTTGATGATGGTTGTAGTAGTTCTTCACGTTTCAGCTCCGTACACTAAAACTGTCTTGACGTTCGTGTTGAGTATTCTGACTTTGATATTGGTTGAGAGTTGTTTTGAGTTCCATATGTACTTCAACTGTAGGAATCTGGCCCTTCATTTGCCAATCCTTGCCTTTACGTCTGCATCAGATCCACCGTGTTCATCGATGATTCTACATTTTCAAAAGCTTCTCTATCAAGTGTGATTGGGTTGGTGTTCTCTGTGTTATATTTGATGATCTTGCTCCTTCCTTGTGTATGTTGAGGTCTATTAAGGCAGAGGCTGCTGCTACACCGGCTGTCTCCACCTACATTTGTTCGTATGTATAGGGATAGAAGGGCTAGGTCATCTGCGAGGTCTAAATCGTCTATTCGCATCCAAGCTGTTGATTGTGTTCCGTGCTTCCCCTCAGGTGTGGAGGTCTCCACAATCCAGTCAACCACTAAAAGAAAGAGAAAGGAGGAGGGTAATTAGCCTTGTCTGACTCCAGTCCTCACTTGAGATACATCTGTCAGCAGTCCTTCACAAACCTCTTTGTAGTGTAGTCCGTCGTACGAATTCCGGATGATGTTGACAAATTTCTATATTACACCATAGTGTCGAAGGTTTCATAAAGTTCTCACATCCATGCTGTCAAATGCTATTGTATGAAGCTGAAAACTGCCAGAACTATCAAAAAGGTATTGGTATTTGTAGATGACTTCCTATGCAAGATATTCCAGATTCACTGGTCAGTGAACATCAGCAATAGCATAATCTGGGAGAGAAAAAATCATTTGCTACTTGAGAACATTAAGAGAAGCTGAGGGTGAATAGGATGCACGTTACGGAAAATATCACACTACATCACAAAGCAAGCTTTAACTTAGAATCCTCAGGGCAAAAGGAATAGAAACAGACCAAAGAATATATGGTGCTGGGAATGGGAATCAGACATTAAGACCATGAATACCGCTTGAAGACAGCTGGGAATGGAAGCTCAGAACAGATTTGCTTGAAGATCTCGGGTCGATGGAGTATGCTTCAAAAGGAGTAACAAGCATCAGCAATTAATTACGCAAACCTTGTCACTATGTCCCATCTAATATTATGCTTAGTGGATTAATTAAAGATAATTGACACGTTCGGAACATAAAACAATTAGTCCCTTTTATAGATTTCGATAGAGCAATGAGAAGACGGAGTTGATCTGAAAAATGTGATGTATTTGCACCATACATTTCGAACAATCTGGTCGAGTAGAAAAAAGTAAAAAAAGGGGGGAGAAATATTTTTACATCGTACAGAAAGAATAAGAAATTGTCGCGTTATCCTAGGCCATAAAATGACTTAAGGATTACCAGGGTAAATTCAAGGTTACGACAAATTGTGTTTTGTACACATGAGGGGGGTTTAAATTTACGAATAGCCAAGGCTTTAATAAACCTGAGAATTCGGCCTTGACAATTTCTATACAACGTTTTAAAAGCTGTATTAATGTCAATTTTGTGCCCTGTTTCAATCTTATGTTTCGTTATCGATGAACATGGTTTTCTACCTCCCACGTTGATCGGATAAACTGACACTAATTGGTTATGAAGCCATCTAGGCACATGTTCAATTACTAGCCATATGCATGTGTGTCCACACAAACATGTAAATTGGTAAATACAGTGGGATGTAACGTAATCATTTATGTATTGTCTAGGTCTATTTGAAATCATGGGCTTAGACTTTTCAATCACAATCAAATTAGCAGCATAATAAGTTTTCTCAATGGCTGCTTTCAATAACTGTCCTAAAACTATACTATTGAATTCACTTCTATATGGTAGACAGATACAAACATTTTTCTTTCGAACCGAATAAACGAGAGGTCTTGACGTTAACTGACTTTTGTACCTATTAACAAACATTAGTGGATAACCATTTGCTATTTAATGTATCAGTCAGCAACTTCTCACCTTCTTCGACCGTATCAGTAGTGCAAATTCTTTGAATCCTATTAAAGAGACACTCAATCAACCCTCGGTTGTATTGCAATGGACAGAAACTATGGAAATTTAAATATTGCCCCGTCCATGTCGGTTTCCTATACACTGACCGTCTCATAGTACCATCCTCTCTTCGACTCAAAAGTATGTCTAAAAAGGGCGACTGGTCATTGTTTTTAGCTTCACAGGTCATTACGATATCGTTTTGAACTCCATTGGGTTCATCTAATAACTGGGAATCCTCAAAATCTTTATCACATATAACTAGTATATCATCCATACTCTATACTAAGTTGCCTCGCTAAAGAGCCTACTCACCATAATTTCAACATATGACATAAATACAACAGCTAAAAGAGGCTTCATAGAAACACCATCAACTTGTCGAAAATATTAGCCTTCAAACGTGAACTGAACATTTGAAGTACATAATAAAAGTAATTCTTTCAACAATCATGACCCAATGGGAAAAAGGGGAAAATTAGTAGATATGATCAAAAAGCAAATCCACAATCTTAGTTAACGGTACATTCGTAATTGGACCTTTATTAATTTTCATATAAAATATCCTGACAAGTATATGTGTGACCAGATTGTTCAAAATGTATAGCGGAAATAAATCACACTATTCGAATCAACGTTCGGAATAGTAAATAACCCCTCAGGGGTAATTTACAACACAATGGATTGATTAAAAAATTAAAAGGCGAACACAACCGATCCATAAAAACTGTCATAATCATTGGGAAACTAGGGTTAATTAATTATGAATAGATCATGGGAGCTTAGTGTTAACGCAATTCAAAGAACAGGAGCCAAATACACTTCACCTGTATTTCATAAATGATCTCATAAAAATCTCTAATTATTACTAAATTGAATAGGCTTGTTGTTGACTAAAACATCCTACACGGAAAAATTTACATGTGTTTAATGATGAGGTAAATTATTAATTATAAATTCCGAAATAATACTAGAGATAAGACGAAGAAGAATACTGTAATGAGAGGGAAAAGCAGTACTAAAAAATATCAGTTATTATGATAAATGTTACAAAACTCACACGGACAACAACAAATATGTGTCAATCGAACTTACAGATGATGAAAGATTGATGGACGGTGTAATATTATTCAAATCAAAGCTATCACTTCCTTGATCTTCCATTATATTTGCAAAACAAGATTCAACTGGCTAAAATAACAAAGAGATGAAAAATGTCAGCATTTTCTACATACATAAAAGATGGATGATTTTGGCTTTGTATACAGAAGGATTTACAACGTATCTTTAGGAAATGATTTTATACTCGCAAAATAATGGCACGCAAAGGTATACTTTTAAAAATAACCAACAGGATAGATAGGATCCAGTCGACTTTGTACTTTAAACAACACAGTAATTGTACTTAACTAATCAACAGAAAATATTCGGTTTTCAAATACAAAAAAGGATTCAACGAATTTCATTCAGTTACTATAGATTTTGGCGCATAACTATCTTAAAGTAGCAAACAACTACGAGAGAAAACATTCTAATTAGGGATTTCTTGACTGAAATTTATTTTAATGTTTGTACTTAGCTAGTACGTATGTCTAACCCTTAACATTGTTCACTTGAGCAGAATATTCACCAAACAATTTGAATTGGTTTTTTATAAGGAATAGATTAATTTAAATAGGATATTCGTCAGGTTAAAAGTATATGTCAACAACTTGAAACTAGTACGTATTACGCACTCTGGGACTCGAAAGTAATCAATCTAACATTATTTTAAAATATATTCAGTTTAATGGGATCTAAAATTCTATATTCTCAATCTTAGGAAATTTACCCTGAAGCAAGTAATCAATTTGAAGTGGATTATAACATATTTATTTGTATGCAAATTTAAAACACGCTGACTAATTTAACAGAGAAATGTGGGCTGACTCCTTTGAAATATTTATTTTCAGATGAACCAAGCAATCACTCTAACTGTGAATTAGAGAAAAAATAAATTTACTAACTAAAGAAAGCCTTATTTAACAACTATTCGGTGAATTACGAAAATAACTTGCATATAAATCCCCATTAATAATTCACCATAGAATGGATTTAAGAAGTTTAAATGTTAATTGGAGATAACATATAGCCAATATGCTATTTAAAGAGGTATATAGGATTCAGGAAAATTGACTGAAAAATTTCAATGAGGTGGCTAAAGTAACTTGCAGATATCCGAAGGTTTTGGTGTTTCATCCTGGATACGGTTATGGACGCATACTATTAACACAACTTGAAACATGATAAAATCGTGTAAAACACAACAACAGGCAGGAAGAATGCATATTTATTAAAAGAAGTTACAGAGTATTTAAATAATACATATATATGGCCCTCAATAGTCCATCTACATGTTTCGGTGTGTTATGCAATCTCAGCTGTCTTCTCGACTAGCCTCTAGGTGTTCTGCCAACACTGTGCTTTCGATGCACTAAAACTTTTTCACCCTATCCAACAATTGTTGCAAAACTCCGACGCCACGTCCCGCTACACACTAACAAACATCTCCGTGAGTAGCGTCTGGCTTCTGTTGGTCCTTCTCGACTCCCTGGCTGGGGTTCGAGAGATGGTGTAACACAGTGGCTAGAGACGTTATCAAATATGGCTCAGAATAGAAGCCAGTGGCGATCCTGCTGTAACCTTCTTTGTTGTAACTTCCTTAACTGAAAGAATTCTTCGTGGTTGTACCTTTTATAACTGAACTGTCTCTCCCCATCATTATTACTTCACTATCACACTAATTTCTGTTCGTTATTGTTCTCTTTTTTCTTATACGCACTAAACATTCTCTATCTCTTGTCATTCTCATTGTTATTGTATGGTGCCCCTCTGTACCAATATTTGTGTTCAAATAAATAAATACACTCGGCGTTGTTCTGATCTGGAGAACGTTATTTTTAAACCACTCATATGCTTCATTAGTTACTTCTGTGGTTACATCCGTCAAAATATTCTTACCTGACGTGAGAATCTCTCCGGGTAAACGTAAAGTAGTTCCATACGCCAACCAGCTGGACAGTATCAAGTATCGTGTTTAGTTGTTGTTCTTAGACCTAACATGACAAGGGATGGCTTACTTTCCCAATCGTTGTTAACAATGACGGTCGTTAGAGATGCCTTTAACTGCCTGTGTAGGCATCCAATCATACCATTAAACATCGGATGATAGGATGTAGTGTGAATATGTTTAATTCCTAGGAGTTCTGTAAGTCGTTGGAACATGCGACTTCCGAACTGTGCTCCCCTATCAGATGTGATGATTGCTGGCACGCCGTAGTAAGGAACCCAATTTTCGACTAGGGTTTTGTCTACCACTGGCCATCGTGTATATCTATCAATGCATGTGAAAATATAGCTGTAAACAATTGAAATCGGCAGTGATCTCACGATGTCGATGTGCACGTATTCGAACCTATTATCTGGGTGAGAAAAAGGACGCACTGCATAACTAGTATGATGGTGTGTCTTGACTTCCTGACACTTCATGCAAGATTGTGTTCAGTTACGCACGTCCCGATTCCTGTTCGTCCATACAAAACATTCACCGGTTAGTTTCATCGTGGCTTTTATTCCTGGATGGGATATATTAAGGATACTATCAAATATATTTTAACAAACTGGTTTCGGAATGAACGGTCGCGATCGGTCTGTCGACAGTCGCGTGTTTTTTAACACCACCGACCTGCACATCTTCGAATACTAGTGATGTTGTGGCATCGAATCTCAGCTTGTTTAATTCGCCGTCTGTTTTTTGCAAATTCGCCAGACCATTATAATCAATTCCGATTGGACTAAATGCATTTATCATCGTTCTTGATAGCGCGTCTGATACTTCGTTATCGTTACCTTTAATGTATCGAATATTAGACGTAAACTAATTGTCGGATTTCTCTCGGCGAATTATTATCCTGCTTGGAGCTCATTGCTTTCGTAAGTGGTTCATGGTCCGCGTACACTACAAATTTCGTACCTTCCATCGTGTGACTAAAATGCTTTACAGCCAAGAAAACTGAAAATAATTCTTTTCCGAATGTGATATACCTCGTTTGCGTTGGGTTCAGTCCTTTTGGGAAGAACGAAAGTGGCTCCTATGTGCCCCTTACTAACTGTTGCAAAAACTGCTCCTACCGCTACATTCGATGAGTCCACCATAATGCCCAATGGTGCGTCACTCTTCCTTCTGACTAGAATCGTTTTTCTGCCTAATGCTGTCTTAGTGTTCTTAAATGCCTGTATTGTGTCTGCTGACAGATGGAACGTTCGTGCATTTCTACATAGTGTCCGTCGACGGTTGTAGTATTGCCACATAATTTGGGATGAAACGTCTATAATGATAGTCCGAGGAATCGTCGTAGCTTTTTCCGTGAGTCGGGAAGCGTATAGTCTCGGACAGCATGGACTTCCGTGGGGACTGATGTGGTGCCTTGGGGAGTTGTCATGTGACCAAGAAACTGCAAGGATCTCTTTCCAAATCCACATTTTTTCAACGTTAATAGAGATACTATGTTCGCGTAGTCTCTTGAATAAATGTCTTGGATGCTGTAAGCGCTCGTCCATCGTCGAGCTGGCTATTAGTAAGTCGTCAATATATGCATATACTTCTGGTAAGCCTCTGATAACGTGGTCAATAAATCTATTGAAGGTTTGCGCTGCGTTGGTAATTTCGAAAGACATACGCAGAAATTTGAATGACCCGAAGGAGGTTGCTACCATCGTTTTCGGCATGTTTTTTGGCGCTACTGGAATATGGTAATACGTTCTAACTAGATCAATTTTCAAGATAGTGGTGCTCTCCATACCATCGGTAAGATTGTGGATGTGTGGTAAGGGATACCTGTCAGCTACTATTTGTTTATTGAGTGTCCGATAATCTCAGCATGGCCTGATCTCTCCGTTTTTTTATGGCCGTGTGCAATGGAGAAGGCCACGGGTTGCACGATGGACTTACGGCACTTAGCTTCATCAATTTGTCGAACTTCTGCTTTGTTATCTTTAGTTTTTTTGGGTCTAACCGTTGTGGCCTTGTGTTAGTTGGTGGTTCAGTCGTTACGATGTGGTGCCGCACAGTGTTTTAGGTCACCATTGTTGTACGTTACTTCCGTGATTTCTACAAACCGTTTACAAAGATTTATATGGGTCACCACGGCTTTTAGCTTTCATCAAATTCGTGGAGAAGGAATCCATCTTATCGTAGTGGTCTGGTTGGTGTTTGTCAGTCGGTGCCGTCTTGAGTCGACTAGCACATCAAAATTCCACAGGAAATCAATGCTTACTATGGGCACTGACACATCTGCCATGACGACGTCCCAGAGATAAGAAGCACCCCGCTCTATATTCAGGGCCAACATCCGGTCCGGTCTAGCCAACGCTTATTGTACGCTATCGGCCACTTAGTCTTGGAGGAGGGTGGTTGCAAGGCCGAATTCATCTATTTGTAGGTTAATGCGGTTAGTCAGAAAATAATTTTTAAGTTTAATGAACCACAGTTGTGGGCCATTGACTTTAAAAGGAGGAAAAATAAAGATTAAGGGCCTTCACAGACGTTTACGGTAAACTTGACAGTATTTTCGGAAGATATGTTTTTAAAAAATAAATAGTACACGAATAGAGTAATATAAACGTCAAAAAGAAAAGTGAACCAATAACAACAATGATAATAACAAATGGCACAATTTATAACATAGAACAGACTTACTAAAATTCACCAGTATATAAAATGTTTGTGAAATGTCAGTATTTATCATGAGTATTATCGTTATGTCTAATAATGTTTGAGTTTATGTACGTGTAATTAAAATAATGATATAAAGGATCCACAAATATAATTATAATCCAGATAATGATCCGAATTGCGACAAAGTGCGTTGAATTTTTCGGAATTAAACTTTACCGTCGAAAATCGCGTCGTGTACGTATGTCAGGGTCAATATTTCTGTAGTGGCTTAGCTTCGTTTATCAATCACCTTGATAACCGTTACCACATAAATCTCAACAGTGTTTGGTGTCAGAAGGTAATAAGAAGCGGCGACTACAGCTTATTAGCAGATACTACAGATAACAAAGTTACAAGCACACCGAGCGACTTTGAAGCAGAGAGGCGAATATGTGTGCACAAGCAAATACAGAGGCGAATTTATACCCAAATCGGATAAGGGCACACCAAGGTAAAGGCTACTAATACGATTCGAGTACATACATATATTGGGGAAGAGAATGATTCATCGGGTGATGTTTAAGCTACCAACATTTAGGCGATATATATATATATATATATATATATATATATATATATATATATAAGTAGGCTGTCACGTGATGAAGAGTACACGATTGTGCCGGAGAGATAGTGATCATAATAGAATAAATAAATAGACGAATAACACTATTTGTTATGTTAATTAAAGGGCTTAACAAAAATTAACCATAATCGAAATAGATTGTAGGAGAGCTGCTATAATCTATACAAACATTAACGGCTTAAAAGGAAACTTATGAAAACAAAACAACATTCGTTTGTCTAACTACAAACCAGTTCAATAAGAATGATATAGATCTTTAAAGTGAGATGTTAGAGACAGATTGGAAAATAAAAGTAATCATTACTTGTGGAGCTCAGCATCGACTTATAACTATAAGAAAACAGAATAATGCATTCCTCTAACATGTATAGTGTTATGATCTATCCTAAGAATAAATCTGAGACCAAGTTTCGTATGATATACATGCATAACAATCTTAAGCAAAGAATTGTACGTATATGGTATTTCACGATACTAATTTAGAAAACAATTTGAGATAGTATGTATGTTGGATTGTTGCGTTAGGTATTTTCTTTACTACCACTAAGCATAAAATAAAATTACCAAGGAGAACAGCCAATAACTACGTAAAGTAACATAATTTAGCGTATCATTACATCAATGTGGCAAGATAGTCACAAATATATAACGTACAGAATTCATATCAGAAGGGGTTGGTGACTCAATAGATTCCATTTCAAGTATACTTAGTTCTGAATTAGATTTGACTTGTGTATTTGGAGATGTCCCATCGTCAAAACTGCCGCGTTTGGACTGTATTTGCTTTGCTTGACCGTGTGGTAAATTACGAGGTGTGAAATGCATAGGTAATGATTGATTAGGTCCTCTGTTAGACGTAGACATAACGTACGAACTTTGACTGCTATCTTTAAAGTTTTGAGTAGAATCAGAGTTTGCAGCTATAAGTGATGAACCACAATTACTGAAATTCAAGTTCCTCTGTTGGTAGTTTCTTTCAGGTAGTTGCGATATCATTTGTTGTGAATCTCCAATTGGTTGAAAAAGTTTAGTCTGAAAAGAAATGTTAAGCATTAATCCAGAAACATGTTCGGGTACACCTGTTTAAATATACCAGATTTATAAATCACTAGGGTTTTCGTGCTTTTGCAATACTTAGGATTTAAAACTCATGAACTGCAAAATTGAATCATTAACCAGTTAATCACTTGTCATATCACACTTTTCAGAAATAACCGAAATACACTACTCAAACTGGTCGCGATCGAATCAGTAATTTATTTAATTCATCGGAAGTATAGTCATGTCAGGTAATTTTAATTAATATGTTTCTGATGGTAAAAATACATGATAAAGGTTTGGTTTCTAGACGGTATGATATTATAAACAACAAGAAATAAATTAAGATACAGGGTTTTTCATTTACTGTTTCAGATCAAAAGTCACTTGTAATCAATAACTTAAATTATCAGTAACCGTCGAAACATTCAAACCTATGTGTTTGTCGCAATAAAATAACGTACAGAAACAAAAACTATCAAATATTTGGAGTACGTAAGTTTAACTATATTAGTCAATGGTGTGTTGAATATAACGCATAATATTTGTTAGGGATATCAGTCAATTAGCTACAACGTAGGAACCAGGCACATATATGCATCGGTCCAAGTTGCCATACCTCATCATCACAAGATGAACACCGAATTCATAGAAGCAGTTAATTCAATGGTACATGGAGAAAGAATTAGTTCGTAGAAAGAACCTTATAAAGCAATTTCAATCTCACTGTTTAAAAGAATACAAAGAGTGTATACACCTACACCATTGTGATCTAGTCTGAGCTATGTCACCCATGATCTCTAACTATTTGTTTCGATAATCATGCTGACCCCAACCAAGTAGTCTGCATCTATCAACATGGCTAAGAATAGAAGTTAGTGACTTCAAGCACTGATGCCACGTTTTAGTTTGGCCAACCCTAACTTTCTTCCAACCATCCCCAACACTAGTCAGCATTGCACATCGTCGTAATCGGTGTTCAGGCATACGCAACACGTGACCCAACCATCTTAGTCCATGAAGATTCACAACCTCATTAACTGATTTACCATCATTCCCTGATACCCTAAGTCTAACCTCACTATTACTTACCCAGTGATCCCAGCAGAGGCCAGCAATATTTCTTAGACATCTGTGGCCAAATACTAGTAACTTACGAGTATCTTCTACTCTTAATGACCACGTTTCGCAGCCGTAAAGTAGAACAGAACGAACTGTCGCGCAATATACTCGTCCCTTAATCGATAGACGGATATCTCGCGTTCGCCATAGGTGACGTAAGTTAGCAGAAGCCAAACGAGCCTTCTGAACCCACGATAAGACTTCCTCAGACATCAACCCATTAGGGCTGATCAGACTTCCAAGATAAGTGAAGTTGTCAACGCGTTCGACTACTTCACTCCCTATCCTTAGTTCAGGCGTTGACGCAGGCCAGTCTTGAAGCAACAACTTGCATCTCGAGGGAGAGAAGCACATCCCAAACATTCTGGCATTGTTGCTCAATGCTACCAAAAGACTACATTTTATCAGCGTCTTCACCAAACAGGACTATGTCATCTGCGTATTCTAAGTCGATAAGTGGACCTCCTGGAAGGAGATCAATACCAGAGAATTCAGTCAACGAGAATGTTATTTCCATCAGTAGGTCTATGACGAAGTTAAACAAAAAATGGAGAAAGTGGACAGCTGTAACGGACACCACTTGAGGTTGCAAAAGCAGATGACAGTTCGCCATAAGATCTGACTCAACTGGTAGTGTTCGAGTAAAGGGCCTTCACAAGGTTTATGAACTTCCAAGGTACGCCTTTTAACAACAGACACTGCCACAGAACCTCTCGGTCTACACAGTCAAATGCTGTTTTTAGGTCAAGAAAGACCACTATTGTTGGACACCGATAAACATGCCTATGTTCTAGAACCTGACGAATGGTGAATATGTGGTCGATGCAGCCATGACGGGGTCTGAAGCCAGTTCACGACTCTTTGTTAGGCGTCTGATAATTATTGAGGTTAGTATTTTAGATGCTATATTAGTTCAACTAATCCCTCTATGATTGTCACATGATGATTTTGACCCCTTCCTATATATTGGGACAATCAGCTATTGCGACCAGTCACATGGGGCTACATTCAGTTCTCAGATTTTAGCTAAAATATTAGTCAACCTAATTTGTAAAACTAGACCACCATCCCTAAAAACATCTGGAGTTAATCCACCTGGACCAGCTGCTCTTCCTCGTTTCAGATTAACTATAGCCTTTTGAAATTCAGCTAGAGTGAGGGGACTTAGTTCAATGTTGGGTAGCTGAAGGCCAGCTGAACTGTTAATTAAAGTGTCCAGCCTATCGTCCTAAACGTCTGGACTGAGAGCAGATGAGGGTGTCGTCTTTTTCCGAAATAGTCTCACTTACACTTGACTTATTAATTCGTTTCTTTTATTAGTCTGTAGAGCTGTCTTGTGTTACCTACAGCCGCCGACTTTTCCATCTCACGGTCGTTCCTTAGACTTTTGCTTAACCTAGATCTGATTCGTTTTCGCTCTTCATCTTATTCAGAGCCTGATGGGATGAGTTTACGAGAATCCATTAGTGCAATAGACTTAGAAGAAATTCATTGGTTTTTCGTAACCCTTTGGCTTAAATCACTAACATATCACTGCTATTTCCACAGCTGTTCGTATATCTTTCCAAGCAACATCCAGGTCAGCCTCATTTTCAGAACTACCTAAGTGTGACCTCAGTTGTTCCTGGAACCTACATATGGTTTTCTCATTACTCAATTCAACTCTAATGGGTCTTTTTAGTGTGGCTTTTCTGTGTCCAGTGAGGTGCAAGCGAATGTGTGCTCGTATTAGAGCATGATCAGAGTCTAAACATTTATTCCGGAAAGAGCCGCAGTCTTCTACTGAGCCTCTTCAACGATGACTGATGGCAATAGAGTCCATCATTGGTTTGGTGCAAGGGGTCGCCATGTTGGACGATGTCCCTCTTTATGTTTAAAATTAGTGCTTGTTAACAACAAACGATTGTCTGGGCGCGGTTGCAACAGACGATCACCATTATCTGTTCGCTGAGACAGAATACCAAAATACCCACCTAAACGTCTTTCTATTTGGTTTAAGCTGCCCACTTGGGCATTAAAGTCACATGATACAAGTACCATATCTGAGCGTTTAGCTTTTTGAGAAAGTTTAGAAAGCACTCTGTAAAATTCGTCATTCACTGCATCTGAGCTGCAGTCAGTGGGAGCGTAGGTAGAAGCGATGAAAAAGCAACCACGTGTGTTCCTATCCTTCCGAGTTTTTACATAGCCGTTTGGTCGGACAGCACATAGACAACTGTTAACAGGAATCTATTCTAAAAGTGTTTGTTCTGCCTTTATACTTAGTGCTATGCCCACACTTGCCAGTCCACGAAAATTTGCCGTCGGGTCGCCAGATAAACGGAACGTATATCTCGTCAGCTCCCCGTCATGGCTAGGCGAGGACAAGTGAATGGCCGCACTACGATCCTTTATGCGTGCTTCGGAGACAGCAATTATCAACGGTACGAAATTCTAGGGTCTTAGCCAAGTAGACGTGCTGGCCGACTTTACAAAGGGGAAGGAAGTCGAAGGCCTCAATGTGTAGTTTGGAGAGAGGTTTCAGTAGAACTGGGACAGTATTTCGTGCACTAGAATCGTCGGCAATGGCAACACTTGAGGAAGTATAGAGTTGGTGACCCAGATAGGAGGAATAATAGGGAAATTTATTATGAATACAGTGGTCTTGAGTGCTGTTAGGGGTATGAGGGCGGTTATCACTTCCCGGTTGCCACACCGTGGAAAGGTTCTTCTACAGGTACCTGAAAAATAAATAGGGTTAGAGTTGGTCTTAATGACGTGAGAATGTGACCGCAGAACCCAGGGGAAAACTGCTTGAGGCCAGTCACGACCTCTTTGTGTTAGCTCAGTACTTGTTGAGACCTTACCGCTGGATACAGATATCCGTGGGATAAGACAAGGTGTGTATTTTTAGGGTCAGCCTTTTATATCCCACCCTTTCTTTGTGGGAAGGCAGCATCGCTGTTATGCCGGTTGTCTGAAGGAAACACCATACTGCCATCAACTTCTGTACAGTCAGCAGTACGTCTTCACCCTCGGACCTTGGGATACCACGCCTAGATTAAAGTTTCGAAGAAAAGATATAACCATATAACTCAAAAGAAATGGCTTAAAACCTAATTGGATTGGCTAAATTAGTAATTAAAGCTTTAGTAACTTTAACTTGATTCAGTAATTTAAGTAAATTGATTGACAGTGTGTAGTTTAAATTTTTAAAAATTAATCATGCATTATTTGATGCACTCAAGGATTCCAGATCGCTTTTTTGATCTAAAAGTTATTAAAAACTGTAGTCTGTTTGTAAGCAAGAGATGAAAAGAACAAATAACATGTAAATTCGTTCTTACGACAGTATGTGACTATAATAACATGTCATTTGATTCCAGTCCATAATATTCTTGAGAGTTGCTACTCAATATAGTCTTATTAATCCAAGAAGAGATACAACTCGACAGCTTAAACAGTTGATTTACTAAGACATTGATTTAAAAAACTTTTCACTTACCATCGTTTAGATAATCGGATATTTACATTCATAGAATATAAAATAAACTCGTGCTTAATTACGCTAATCTTTAACACTCAAGTAGACAATACACCGAGTCTAATGTATATGAGATTAATAGCATTGCTAGAACGTAACTACATAAAACTATCCACACTTATTTAGGACATATAATGAAATGTGGTTTCTGTTAGATATGTCCCACAAAGAAACCAGCCAGAAAATCGGATACATGTACTCACAGAAGAACTTTGATCCATACTACTATTAACCTGAGATTATTATAACAACTAAGTTGATGACGAAAACGGTACTTCAGCAAATTCCTACTGTGGGTCACATATGATTCTGTCAACAAATTTACGTAACTCGTACAAAACTTTTAAAAACTAGAGAAAGAGAAAAAAATTACCATATCCTTTTTACTTATTTATTTACTTAAACATATAAACGTTGGTATAAGGAGGCACCAAATATATGTGCACCACACTTTGTTACTAGATTTGTGTGAGAAGCACTGAACGACTGTTTTGTCCTGGCACAGGACTCTTCGTCACTGTGTATCATTCAACCCATCATCAAGAAAAAGTCTCATACTACGAAGAAATAATTACCTAATGCTCCAAAATTTTCAATCTCTTTGGAAAGTCTTAATATTGATGTTTGTTGTCTATCCGAGACCCGTATTCAAGACTCTGGCGAAGTACTACAAATTCGATCTCCATCTGTCGCTTCGAAAAGCTTGTTTTACGTGCGCTTATCCGGGGACCCTGTGGCATCTTCGTCTGGTCTTGCTGGCGTTGGTGTCGCACTAAGCGCTAGAGCTGAGGCAGCACTAGTCGATTGGATCCCCATTAACAGTCGGTTATGTGCTGTTAGATTAGAAAGTTCCATCAAAGTGAGAAGAAATCGGCGTGAGAAACGATGTCTTTTCGTCATCTCCGCCTATGCCCCGACAGATTGCAGCCCGGATGCAATCAAGGATGAGTTTTACCACCAGTTATCAGTTCTTCTCCAGAAAGTGCGTTCGACAGATATTGTAGTACTAGCCGGAGACTTGAATGCTCAGGTCGGGCGTCTAGGCACAGAAGAGAGTCGTTTAGGTGGCCGATGGGGACTCGTTGGTCGCAGGTCAGATAACGGGGACCGTCTACTGCAACTTGCACAGACCACAACCTGTTTCTGGCTAGCACTAACTTTCGGCACAGTCATCGCCGATGTGCCACCTGGCGTCCTCCCTCTGCATCTCAAGCCTGGACTCAGATTGATCACATCGCGATCAGCTACCGCTGGCGTGGTTGTGTACAAGACTGCCGCTCCTTTTGGAGTACCTATCTGGACTCTGACCATGCCTTGGTCTGCGCCAATCTTGCCTTACTTTTCAGTGGCCAACGAAGTGAACGAAGTGACCACCACCAAAGGATTGATGTTAGCAAGCTGGTTGCAACTTCTGTTGCAAGTAAGTATCGAACCGAGCTAGCCTCTAGGCTAGCTACCACTCCACCGAAAAGTATAGATGAGCATTGGTTGCAATTGCATGACGCCATGAAAATGGCGGGAACAGTCAGTTGTGGGTTTGCGAAACGTCCCGCTTTTAAGCACTGGGTTTCTTCTGGTTCCTTACAACTCATTGAAGCCCGTCGGTCTACTCCGGGTGACCGTGAGTTTGACCATAAACGAAGGATGTTACGTAAGGAAATTGGGCAAAGCTTGCGTAAGGACCGAGAAGCCTGGTGGTCGATGCGTGCTAATGAGCTGGAAGCAGCAGCTGCATCTGGTAACTACCGGAAGCTCTTCCAGCTCATCCGAGCCACTGGCAGCAAGAAGTCTGGTGTGAGTGAAACAATCTGCGAGGATGATGGGATGCCAATCACTAACATCCATCGACGTCTTGGACGATGGGCAGAATTTTTCGAAGGGCAGTTCAACTGGCCTGCTGCTCCGGCAACATCGGTCAGACTGTCCTGCCCTCCATGGCCGGTGACGACTGATCCACCAAACGAGGAGGAAGTCCGCAAGGAACTCCAACTCTTGAAGCGTTACAAATCACCTGGCCCAGATGACTTACCTCCGGCTCTTTTTAAAGATGGTGGTGACTTTTTGACTAAGGAATTGACGACGTTGTTTACAAAGGTTTGGGAACTAGAGTGTGTACCAACGTCATGGAATGAGTCGATAGTTGTCCCTATCTTTAAAAAGGGTTCACGTCGTTCCTGTAACAACTATCGGGGGATAAGTCTACTTCCGATTGCGTCCAAGCTATTGGCTTCCGTCATACTTCGTAGGTTGTTCAAAACCCGAGAAAGATTGACTCGCGAGGAGCAGGCTGGGTTTCGTTCTGGTCGAGGATGTATTGATCATATCTTCACCCTCCGCCAAATGTTAGAACACCGCCATACTTATCAAAGGCCAACAATCGTAGTGTTTCTTGACATCAGGGCTGCCTTCGATTCGTTGGACAGGACTGTTCTCTGGGATTGTCTATTGAAGAAGGGTGTGCCTGAGAAGTTTATTAACATCCTAAAAGCCCTATATAAAAACACCTCAGGCAGAGTGAGGGCATACAACCACCTCTCTCCATTGTTCCATTCGAGCAGTGGGGTTAGGCAGGGTTGCCCAATCTCACCATTCCTCTTCAACTTTGCCATCGATGACATTCTGGAAACAGCTCTGATGAATGTAAGTAATGGTGGTGTGGATCTGTTGCCTGGAGAAAGACTTCTCGACCTTGAGTATGCGGACGATATTGTCTTACTGTGCGATAATGCCCAAGGCATGCAATCCGCACTTAATCAGTTGGCAATCAGTGTCCGTAGGTATGGTATGTGCTTTGCACCTTCGAAGTGCAAAGTACTTCTACAAGACTGGCAGGATTCTAATCCTGTACTCACCCTGGATGGTGAGCAGATAGACGTAGTTGAGAAGTTCGTGTATCTGGGTAGCTGCATAAGTGCTGGTGGGGGTGTGAGTGATGAGATCAATGCACGTATAGTGAAAGCCAGAGCGGCTTATGCCAATCTGGGCCACCTTTGGCGCCTTCGTGATGTTAGTCTGGCTGTAAAAGGTCGGATCTACAACGCGTCGGTGAGAGCAGTTTTGCTCTATGCTTGTGAAACCTGGCCTCTCCGAGTTGAGGACGTTAGACGACTCTCTGTGTTCGATCATCGCTGTCTCCGAAGGATTGCTGACATTCAGTGGCAACACCATGTCAGTAATGCAGAGGTTCGGCATCGTGTGTTCGGGCACAGAGATGATAATTCAATTGGTGTCACCATCTTGAAACACCGACTTCGGTGGCTTGGACATGTTCTACGAATGTCGTCCCAGAGAATTCCACGTCGTGCATTATTTGCCGACTCTGGGACTGGTTGGAAGAAGCGGAGAGGTGGTCAGTGCATGACATGGTGTCGTGGCATGAAAGAAAGCTGCAAAGGACTGGCTTGTGTTGGTCCTTCACGACTCCCTGGTTGGGGTCTGAGAGATGGTGCTACACAGTGGCTAGAGACGTTATCAGATATGGCTCAGAATAGAAGCCAGTGGCGATCCTGCTGTAACCTTCTTTTACTTTCTTCATAAAAAGTGGTTGTGTCTCCTTTACCTGAAAGATTTCTTCTGATTGTACCTTTTCGTTCCGTCGTTACTACCACACTACCTTACTCCAATCTCTTCGTCATTGTTCTCTTTTTCTTTTGCGCTCCTTAGTTTTTTTTTCTACTTCTCTTCGAATTCTCATTGTTTTGTGTGGCGCATATATATTGGCGCTCTCTTGTACCAATATTCATGTGTTCAAATAAATAAATAAATAAATCTCTGTCAATGTGGATACAGAGATTTTATTATTTAGCTAATCAGTAAATAAACAATAACGAATGCAAACAATCCTGGTTTATTTAAACTCAATTGGTTCAAATCATAATATCCCAATGTTATCTTTACTTTCAACCAATAAATATGAAATCAACCAGCGATAAATGTAAAGAATATTTGCTAAGTATTTTGATCAGATAATTAATATAAGGTTGGTAAATTATTAGAAAGAATTGTGGGTAGTTAGAATTCAGACTGTCCTGTCTTACTTTCTTTTTCATTGTTAATCTCCACAAAATAGTTTTTATGGTACTATTGTAATAAACTTTATGTACGTGAAATATCTGTCCTCGCTTTTTGTTCTGATGTATTGATAAACGATAAGAGCCTTAAAACATGTCATTTAAGATCAAGTTGACAAGGTACACGAAGACTCCTACGCCAGTTTATAGAATCTTCAGTTACATGAGCATCAACTTTATCTTGATTAGAGCTTTTCTTACTACGTGAATTAAATAAAAAGACACGAAATCGAAACGTTATACCAGTTCAAACTTTTAAGAAAGAATGAAAACCAAAATGATTTCATCAAAATGGAAAATAGGGAATAATACCACAGTGAAATGATATCTCATTAGTGGCTTACTGGATAAGCTTCCGTCTGATGCTGCTGATTAGCTGCATTTAAAGAAGCCAAGAGAGCACCAGCTCCAAATCCTCGGTTGTACTGACTAGTTAACTTAACATTATCATCAATTTGCTGCGTCGAAGCTTGAGAACCGGAAAGAAGAAGATTAAGACATGGTGCGATGTTGTTGTTGGACTACTTATGATTAGTTTGGATCCTTTTGATCGACATTCACTTGATGTTCTGGGTCCCAATTCTTCATGTACAATGCATTCTTCATTCAGTGTCTGTTCACGCATACGCTGCTGTCGGGCAGATGTGCGAGACATGCTTTGAAAAGATCTTTTTCCTGAACATATGGCGAAAACTGCACAGTACGTCAGTAATGAGCGAGGACTTCCTTTACCTCGTGAACACTACTGAGTAATGTAGCTGATAAATTACCGACAGCTGAATCTAATAATCTAATAAAAAGCAAATAGCCATTGGCAAAGATTAAAAATGCGCCGCAGCTATAATTGAAATAGAGATTTATATAGTGCCTGAATAAAAAAGTGAATTATTGTCCTTGTCCCCACGATCTTAGCATTAAAGCTTGATTTAACCGTAAACAATCATATTTAGTTATAAATACTACTTTCAATTAATACAAATAAATTAACTCAAAATAGTTAACATACAATAAGTGATTTACATGCGTGATCGTCCACAGTTTAACCTAACACATAGAAGTTAAAAAAGCAGTGGCTGAAGTATGCAGGTCTTTACTTTGAATTTAATTACGGTGACTGAGTTTTATGATGTCGTTAAATAATATACCGACTTTAATTTACGGAAGCGTATATGTTGCTATACACAATCCCCTGGAATCACCAGTCATTCGTTAGTAACCACAAAAATTACTGACAATCTCGTCAAGTAATTCTGCTCATGTAAACCGAATTTTAAAACTTAATATTGAGACAGCTGCATGAATGTAATCATCTAACACTTGGCCATGGAGCAAAAACCAATTTTGGTTTTTCCGAATGGAGACCTAATCCAGCTAACCCTATTACGACAGTCGGTACCCTCCATGATCTAACCATTTAAGAAGAGGCGGTTGAGTGAAAAAGTACAGAACCACCTATCAACTCAAAGGGCCGTGACTTCACAAACACTTCGTTCATGATTCAACTTATTTGACGATTGGAGACACAGGTTCAAATAAGCGAATCGGCGTGCTATGAGCGTTTACATTTTCGTTAGATTTCTTGTTATACGCTAAATGACAATTGAAATATGAAAAAATCAAACCAATACCACAATAAAAGATATGGTTGGACTTGACAGGACTCTTAAATGGAACAGCATATGCGGTGGAATTTAGTTTGAAAATCTAATCTCATTAGTTGTAAAAGCTATTTCTTACACTGGTTACTCTACAGGACACATAAACATAAAGGCAAAACATAGTATATGCACAAAGCGACCCAAGTCATCACTAATCCTATCAAAATCGGAAGTCTATATTAGCAAGATAAAATAAATTAGTAGGAAGTAATGATGCAGACGGTAGTGAAGTACTGTGCATGAGAATTATGATTTAAAGCGAACGAGTAAAATCAGGTAAGAATAATATGGTTTCGTTTCTGACTTGAAAGAGGATGATTACCTAGCCTGAAATAAGCTCGAGTGAAGTCGAGCTTTAAGAAACGACAAGTGTAAAGTCTTTTCCTTCACACATGAATGTATATTTCATTCCCCGAAATATTCGATGAATAAGGGTATGGGTGATAGTCTTCACGGTCATACTTTATTTTTGTTTCCCTGTAACATTTTAAGAAAAACCACTGCCACCATTTGAGTAACATTGTAAGGTTGTGAGCTTTGGCTAGACTAAAAAAATTCGTTGGGGGAGTTAGTGTCAGAAAGTTAGGTGTTTCCTAGATTACACAACCATATTTTATTGGACATTACGACCTTATCTAGTATCCACGATCACGGACGCTCAACTGACAGAAATAAAGTAATAAGAACGACCAGAAAATGAGAGGAATTAACACAGGCGACTAAGGATGAGCTCAAGTCAAATGAACTATTATACTTATTGCCAGAGGTTGAAGTTCACATACAGCTCGAAACTGAGCTACGAAATTTTAAGAATCGTCACCGTATGGAATTCTTTGACAGACATCAGGTCTGTGGATAGCAGAATATCAAAACAAAATTCTCATAACGAATAAAAAGCATGAGTTTCAATCACCTACACTTGACATTAGCAATTGCAAAAACACAAGTAACGTATATTTGATCTAGTATGAATTAATTGGACTTTAATCTGAAGCACTTGTCCTTATTTTAATGGATTTTAAAACAAGATAGCTGACTACTGAGACAAACACTATGGTGCGTTAGCCCTACGCTAATAATTCACTGACCTGAAACCGCCAATTTTCACCACTTGGATGACGCGCTTTCCTAAGTGATGTTCAGATATTTGACCTCATTTCTGTACCCTTGGTTAATATTTTTAGGTGATCATTCCTTAATGTAAGAACTGCAAAGATAAAGTAAATTGCGAAACCGTTGCATTTTGAATAGGAAGTAAACATAATAGAACCTATGAACTTGAGGATTTAAGTTCGGTTTTAAGTTCGTGAGTTGAAGATAGAAGGAAGAGTGGCGGTATCACCCTGTAACGGTTAATAAATCCCCAAAATAAATAGCTCTCTAAGTCTTCGACATTGGATGCTGACCACATCAGTTTTAATGGACTCACCTAGCTGAAGGCGCTCGATCATACATCCACACCAGATCACGAGTGGGAACGCGGTGCTCAACAACCCCTGCAATCGCTAGCCAGATTACACGATCCTCGATATATTGATAACATACCAGTTATATTTTCGAACCTTCTCGCTTTTATCTTTTGATTTTGCTTGGTGGGTGCGATTCATATCAGGTGTTACTGGTTAAAGCGTTGTCAAACTCCGAATACCTGTGGCATTTTCATTGATGAGCCTTACGTGATCTGATACGCCAAATCGTATACTGTGAGTCTGTTCCTTTTTGGAGTTTCATATATTGTTGCTTTATTTTAATTTTTCATACATTGTGATACTTTTTTTCTGTGTTTTCGGATATATATTTTATTTTCACGAGTTCATTCTCGTACTTGATATTTCATCATGACTGAACAAACACTCAAGGTTCTTAAATTAAAGACTATGTCCCCACCTTCGTTTCAACTGATGCCCTTCTGACCAGACAACATTGAAGCCCGGTTCTGCTACGCAGAAGCCGACTTCTACGGGCACAGCGTGAACGACACACGTCCACAGTTCCTTGCAGTAGTCAAGGCACTACCGCAAGAATTCAACAGGTGCGTAACACCTAGTATGTTTACTAGTGATGTTTCGGAACCTTATGAAACACTGAAACGTTCTATTCTTAAACGCGGAGACCTAACCGGTCGACAAAGGTTAGACCGACTCCTTAGTAACATAGACGTGCAACATGGTTCTGCGACAGACATGTTGCAAAGAATGAGAGAGGTTATAAGCCAAAGAACCTTCGATGATGACCTATTCAAACAACTTTGCTTATCCAAACTTCCTTAACAGGTGCAAGCTGTGTTGATCTCCTTCCAAAACAAGGCCTTAGATGAGCTGGCTGCACCACCAAATCTTCTAACGTCGAGGTTTTTTCAGTCAAAGAAAAACCTCAAGAGACACAGAATGGCATTATGAAACTATGTCATTCGCTGATACGTTATCTTAAATTTCGTAACGACCGTAAACGGTCACACATCACACGAAGAAGCACTTCACGTAAGCGATCTGTTTCTAGACCACGAGAGTCGGATAACCCGACTGGCTCTAGTATCATAATCAGTATGGAAAGCCCTCCAGAAATTGCAGAAAATCCTGAAATTTTCCCAACTCAAAGCCGACCGACACGAAAAAACAAATCGGAAAACTTCCAAGCCGGCACACGTTAACGGCAACCGTAGCCGGTGACACATGGTCGTCTGTTATACGTCACCGATGTGATAACGAAAGTTCGCTACCTGTCGGTACTGGCGCAGAAGTCAGAGTTCTTCCTGAAAGTTCTAACGACTGGCTTCGCGAATCATTTTTAAACTTACAAGTGGCAAACGGAAAGCCTATCGTCACATACGGTAAAAGGTACGTTTACCTTAGCGTGCATTTATGCAAACCCATTCACTGGATCTTCGTTGTTGCAGATGTTTCTGTGCTAATCATTGCTATAGACCTCTTACAACATCATAATCTACTCATCGATACGCGCAAACGAAGGCTAGTACACGGATACACCAATTTATCTGTTTGCGTAACTTCTTCTGGTTGCAGATTATCTCTCGTCACACTTAGGCACATGATAGACCCATTCTGTCAACCACTACTTAATAAGTATTCTGGGATATACCAAACGCATCCGAAATTACCGTGTGTAATTAGCAATGTTACACATCACATCACGACTACAGGATCACTTATATTCTCGAAAGCACGTTGACTGGCCCCCGAAAAGCTAAGGTTGGCGAAAAACGAATTCGACCACATGACAGAGTTAGGAATCATAAGGCCATCAAACAGCCCATGGGCATCTCCGTTGCACATGGTCCCTATAAAGAGCAGCAACGACTGGCGTCCAATTGGTGACTATCGGCGATTGAGTGCGATAACCATTCCCGATCGTTACCTCATTCCTTGTAACAGCTTAGATTGGTTGGTTAAGAGTTGACCTCAAACAACTAAGCATATGTCAAAACAGTATAGTTCAAGTATCCATTCAATTCTTTATTTTGTGTAGGTGTTATATTTCCTTTTATCTTATATAGAATGTTGAGAGGCTTTGTTTGTCCGAACGAATAATCTCACGCTCCACCGTAACTGCGCGAAGATCTAAATAAAGACCTATTCACTCCTTGTCTGGTTTCTTCTGTCAATAGCACGAGGGTTACCTAGAGGCACGAAAGCCTCACATTCACGATTTGACAGCTACCTTGAAAGTTACAACTGTCTTTTCGAAAATCGACTTGTTTAAAGCGTATAATTAAATCCCTATGGCCACTGACGATATTCCGAAAACAGCCATTATAACTCCCTCCGGACTCTACGAATTTTTGCGAATGTCTTTCGGTCTCAGAAAAGCTGCGCAAACATTGCAAAGGTTCATAGACGACGTTTTTCGAGGTCTCAACCTCGGACATATGTATTTTGATGACATCCCAGTGGCAAGTACGGACAGAGAATCCCATCTCAAGCATCTGGATCTTGTTTCCGACCGACTACAAAAACATGGCATTACTGCAAACATTCAGAAATGCCAAATCGGAACTGACTCATTAGATTTCCTAGGACACACTATTGATTTGTAGTGGCATTGGACAAAAGCCACACAATCCACAAAGCTGTGAACACGAGACTACTCAGAAAATAGATATTCAACATTTAACGCGGAGAAATACCTAACAATGAAGAAGGCGCGAACAATGAATTGAATGGACTGGAGTTGATCGGATGGCATGGCTCGACCATGCAGGCGTGGTCCATCTGAATGTTACCTTATATCTTCTATTCATATTAAATATATATATATATATTAAATATATATATAGCTGTTGACTTTCACTACAGCACTTAGGACCACAGATCAAGTTTCGAAGGAACAACAGAGCTAAAGTGTGCACTACAAAACAGAAAATACTCAGTTAATGCTCTTAGCAGTTATTTAGTGTTTATTATGCATCAAAAGATGACTTATATATGGAAACATTTAATACTCATAGGACCCAACACACACACGGCAATTGAAATACGGAATGCCCGCTTCCAGTCAGCGCGTTCAAGGTCGTTGAAACGAAACGGCGGACAGGTTTGAAAGGGATTACCGTTTATACCTTGTCGATTTGATCGGATGGCATGGCTCGGCCATGCAGGCGTGGTCCATCTAAATGTTACCTTATATCTTCTATTCATGTTAAATATATTGTTCCTTCTCTAGCCTAACGTCGTTCTACATCATGTATTAGTAATTGATACGATACAGTGAGTTGGTGTAGTCGATGGTGTGACTTCCACGTAAGATCTTATAGATTAGGCAGTTATATCATGACAAATATACAAATTTAGGATTAGGTCTATTATTAGAGCAGTACTAATATCATAGTAGACCATAATTCTACATTGGTGAGCCCAACTAAAGAAACGCAACCTGTTATTGTTAATCCTTATTTTACATTAACTTTCTCAATCGGTTTTTATTTTTGTACATCCAGTATTCTAATAATCCTTTGAATAATGGTCACATATATTATCGTAATGTTATATCTATTAGTTCACATAACTTACTAGCTCAATCGATAATAAAAGTTGATCATCTATATCAACTAATTAGCTTTGATGGTTCGTTAACAAGCTTTAATAGCATTTACCTGCTTCAGCGACATAGACTTGTTTAAACATCAAGCTCTAGCAAATATGACCTGTAAATAGCGTAAATATGCATTGACTAACAATGCAATCAAGGATTGAATAGTTATCTGGATCTAATTCTTAGTGTTCCTTCGCCTAACACCTCATCCTGTTTTAAACTATGAACTATCCTGTAATATCTTTTCTTCCGACCACTGCCTGCCTAATTTCATATTCTCGAGTTCCATTGCCAAACAACAAGGATGACACTTCTCCAAAAAAATACGGTGAGTTCCAGCTATAAGTTTTCTGCAATCATAAGTTCATTTTAGATGGCTCATTCAGTGGCACACACAATTATCTGGATTCATTCAGTTGTTCTGATCAGAGCGAGTCCCAAAAACCTCAACAACATCAAGCACCCTGGAAGTGATTGCCATACTGCATGTTTTATTCTGGATACTTTTGGATCATTACTACTCCTCACGAATGGCGTTATATATGTCGTCCACTGAATAATCTAATTTTCAAAAACAACCCAGGCGAGTTCAACTATTTTACTTAATGATTTTTTTTACTTAACATATATATGTTTTCCGGCTCCTTTTGCTATATATTTGTAAGTGTCCCTAGGCTAAATGCAGTAACTTTTTATGGATTAGTTTATCATATTAGCAGCCTAAAATGCGAACATAGTTCGAATAATAAGATTAAAAATTTAGGTACTATCAACTGCACTAGTCGAATAACTAAATCATAAAGTAGCTGTTGGCTGAACAAATGTTTAAAATCAAAACTCCGTAGCCTACTAAAATTACCACTAAACGAATATTTCTGAATTGGAAATTATAATATAATTAGGCGTCTCGGATTCTGTAACACTACAAATTTCTGATAATTTTGAATCACCTAAAGCAAAAATACCTATTTTTCCACTGACTAATCCTCATTCAACACTATAACTAGTTAAACATGATAGTTTCAGGATATCGTCATAAAGCATTGTCATGACTCGACAATCACGTAATATGATTGATAAAATTAATGAAACTATTAACAAAATCGGTCATCAAATTGACTTATAATTATCACCAGTGTTGTTTTTTTCTTATCTTCATCCATCACAGATGATTACAGTATGTTTCTCTCTCAGTTGCTCATTCAGTAAATAT